ACCGGTGTGCACATTATTATAATAGGTTTTCCTCTCCTTTTTCGGGATAGTACTATCATGTACTTGGCCTTTTCTCCCTGATAACGGAACAGCAGCTCCTTGGCCGCGGCATCTCGACTCTTGGGTTCAGTCTCTGAGTTGAATTTTGAAAACGCGCACAAACGCCATTGACCGTTCGCGCCACCAACACAGTGTCTGTTTAACTCTAGCTCAGGTCGTTTACAAAAAAAAATTGTTTCTTTAAAAATATAGGTAAAGCAGTTTACCTACCATCTCATTAATACACCACAGGATTACCTACAACAATCAAACGGTATACATATACATACACAACACAATACCAACGCTTGTAGTTCAATCGCAACCGGCCGTTCAAAATAAGTAAGTTTGATTTTTTTATTAAATTTTTTTTTAAATATAACTTCTCGAGTGAGCGATCATACTTCCGTCGACCGATTTTGTTTTTAAATAATTCAAATCCAATTGTGATTTCTCCGGCAGTGTTAGTGTGTCAGTTTTTACCGTGGCAGTCGATTGAGGAGATTTTTTTTTTCGTTCTGTTTTAAGGAAACCGTCGGGTGAGTGATTTTTCACTTGATTATTCGACCGAGACCCCGGTTCGACCTATTTCTTCTACTACTAGGTACTATGACTACTGCACAGAGTGGTTTATAATTTTTTAGTTTTGCACTAACCCGTACTGCATAATTTTTACCAGTAGGTAAAATTGTTAAAACTTGCAAACGTACCTATAGCGCATAATCATTTTTACTGCGTATTACTACAGTGTGTAGTGTAATATTTGAATGAGAAAAAAATCAAATATAAAATCGTTATGCCTCGACATGTTTTGAAAGCGCGTTCTTTTGTTTCCACCTGAAACGTCTTATTATATTGTTTAGCTAGAATACCTACCGTGTGAAGTAAAAAAAAAAAAAAAAAATGTGTTATGACGTGATTTTTTTAAAAACAATTTTCCCTTTAAAACGCCATTCGGACGACGATTAAAACAAAAAAAAAAATTATACAATTCATTCGACCGGTTTCCATATTATACAACTTTGTGGGTTTTGTAGAATTATTATTACAATGGGACTATCCAGTCTGTCTGGGTTTTCTAGCAATTGTACAATTTTTTTTTTCTTTGTTCATGTTTCCTATTTTTCACCTCTAAGACAATGCTTAAACTCGTGTCAACGGGCGCACGTAGGGCAAAGTTTGTAAGCCATTAGCTTTAGGACCCCAACGAACGAGCCCTGTCAAACTTGCAAAAAAACAAGACTTAAAGGGAAAGTGGCATTATTTTTATTTTTTACTTTACACACTCAAGTCGTCGCCGAAGACCCGAAATTCTTCGGTTTTATTATCGCTATTGGTAAAGTGGCGAACACGGTCCGTGTGTGTAAATCAAATAACACAATCAACTGTCTTGTTTTGCCCTTGGCGAACTGACCCTTTCTCGACAGTGTCGTGGAAGCGCAAGTGAAATATTATTATACCGTCGTACCACCGGGTCAGTAGCATCGTTTGAGAAAAACCACTTGTTGACCACCGGCCCGTCTCCTCCGGCTGTGCTGTATGGTGTATAGAGGACGAACATATTACATTACCTATTCTTAATGCGCACCGAAAACACTATACAGGACAGATAAAAAAAAAAAAAAAAAAAACTATTTCGCATTTTATATATTTAATCCGTCGGTTGTTAGCGGAAAAATATAATCAATGAAAGTTTAACCTCCCAGGGGGGTCGCCGATTACAAGCTCATTGTGTGTTTGTTTTATCAGTACGAAATAATAGAGGTTTTATAATAATTATACTATTGAACCACGGCTAGGTCGTACATAGAATAAACTTATCTCCTTATCCCTCTGCGTGTGTGTGTGTGTGTGTAACGTTAACACAATTATTGTTGTAGTAGTTGATAACATTATATATATATATATAATCGGGATAATTATTATTTACTCGCCCATTTGTTGGTAATATTAAAATAATATAATATAACGTTTGGCGGTAAAAAGGATTAAATTCTCAAGGTCACCTTTGCTCGAACGTCTGTGACGTCGTCGCTGGATTCTGTAAAAAAATTGCTTGAAAAAAAATTGTATTATAAAATATAAAAATTGCGTGGTAAAACGGGTTATTGGCATTGTCATTCCGTCGACATTTTTTTAACGTAAAAATATAAATTTTTCACTGTAAAGGGAGGATCAAATCGATTCGATCCCTTATAATAATATATTCAACCCCATTTTCGCAATTTTTTTACTTAAGTCCTTTTACCCGATGCGTGACAATCTGATTTTTTCAAGCGCAATTAATACCATCGCACAGCGGGTCAATTACTAATTACTTTTGTCAACATCATTATAACCTGATCAAATTAATGTCATATAGAAGAGTTGCCGTTTTCAGAGGTCGTCACAATGGCCCAGTAACTAGTAGTCATAGAGAATAAATTATTTTACTCTATGGAATGCACTAATAATATACAATATACAGACAGGACATCAGCTGAGATGATCTGGGGCTGTGTCATATCTAATTCTACATCACCGAGTGCAATCATTATAATTGTTATTGTTAAACGCGAGTGTAAACCGACAGTAGTTTTGTTGTCTGGGCTTTGAGTGCTGCTTCACATATTATAGTCGTTTAGATCCCCATCAAAATATGCGTACAAGTTATTGTTGTTTGTACACCAAGACATTATTGCCATCGCACACTTCTTGTTTACAAAGTCTGCGAAACAAACAACAACTCTCCTTGTGAAATACATTATTATTTTTTTTTACTCTGTCGCAGACGCACAATAGAGTTTTTAATGGGATTTTAAGTCGAGCGCACATGTTGATATTATGTTATCTTGCAATAGTAGATTATGGGGCGACCTTTGGGACAGTTAGTGAGTCATCGACGCGTTAGGATTTCTATCTAAGATGACCTTTGGTGTGCAAACTCGGTCCAAGACTCCGCACGCTTTAAAGGCGTCGTACCGTGTATGCAAAATTGCGAATAAAAAATTGATTAGTCATCAATTACTAGTCAAAAACCCAAAACTATAGTCAAAACCGCCGACGGTTAAACGACAACAAACAACTAAAAACAAATGACCACGCGGTAACAAGTGTGGTGGTGCGGTGACGATATTATATTAGTACTAATATTGTTATTATCAATCCGACGACCGATTGTTGTGAGAAGACACTCATATAATTTCCCTGTGTGTCAACGGTGTTACACATACACACAAGTATAATAATATAATATTATACTTGTTGTGTTATGTTTGAACCGCACAGACGACGGCGACCTAATGATAACTGTAAACAGACAGCTATATGGTACATTTCTTCTTGGTACAACGTTTTTTTTTTTGCCAGACTGGACGACGCGACGGCATCGGTGCCCGGTTGGAAAATCGTTTTTTAAACTCATCGGCAACGTATTTTCGAAATTATCATCCGATCGAGGAAGCAAATCGTTTCCGTAGCGTTGGGTTTGCCCGTGTAAGTCCTGTGCTGTGAATATTGATGTGCGGATGATGAGCTGTTTGTTATTGTCGTGGCGGTTGTACAAACAATGAGCGCATCCGGTTAACGCCATACCAGATTTGAAATATACAAGTTAGAATCGAAGAGGTTATAAAAATATACCGCGACGAATACCAAACGATCATATTATCATCCTCGTTCAATAATAATCATAGTATTGCAATTGTCTATTACCGGTATATTGCACAACACCATCCCGCCCGAGTGTATATTATCATAATACAATTTTGCAGTATAAAAGTGGTGAAATGTGTAAATAGCAAACTAGAGCGGCGACAACGATCTCATATTGTCTTCAATACACAGTAGCCAGAGATTTTGTTGAAAACCACCTACATATTTTTATAAACATATTATACATATTTTTGTATTGGTAAAGCGGTTTTGGGCCGTCTAATGCACACAATCCCGTAAAGAGTTAATTAGGAACTCATTTGTTTGTCAAATTCGTTCAGTTCAAACTCATATCGTTGGTTAAAAATTAAATTTGATAAATTAGTGTTGACAAATTTAAATAAGAAGTAAAACGGTACGTGAAAAAACGGTGTTATTTTTAATTTCCCAAAAGTTTAACTTTCGTAAATGATCGATTCAGTTTTGGGGTACTCAGCCCCCCCCCCCCCAAAACACTAGCACTGAGAAGAAGGTCCGCGAGTAAAGGCCGTCGTGGTGACGTTAAGAATTCGGATTGAGTAGGATAAACAAACAATGGTCGTGTACGATTAACATTATAATATTATTGTTACGATTTTGGATGACCTCAACGGTCGAGAGTGTACCATACTGGTTTTGTGCACGTCCACCTGATGGTGGTCGGACCATAAGACCAGATAGTTTTGCGCTTGTTTTGCTTTTCGGCCGTCGGCTTTGGTGAAAATATTATTATTATTGCGCAGCTAGTATTTTTTTTTTTTTTCGCGACAACCGAATGCGGCCGGGCGGCGCAAGGGGACACACCGTCGGCGTGCGAAAAAACCTGACCCAGTGCGTTCAATGACTGTTGTTTTGGTACTCGGTTGCGGCCGACGCGCGCCGCCGCGGTATTGACCTTGTAGCGGCAGCGCTTGTTGCGGCCGCAGAGGATAACACACGCATACGCATACACACACACACACACTCACCACACGACGCGACGGCGCGCCGCCGTCCCTCCGCCAATCGGATCGCCCGTTCCGGTATCACGCCACCGAGTATCCTCAGGTCACGCCACTTCCTCCCCTCGCACTTCCGCGGCTCTGCCGTCTGCCCCTCCGCGGCTAGCCCTCCCTCCCTTCCTCTGTCCGTAACCGTTTTTCTGGGATCTCCACCGCCGCCGCCGCCGCCGCCGGAGGAGAGACACGTTGTCGGCGAATGCGTTGACGTTGCCGTCCGTCTGTCGTTTGTATTCAATATTATATATATTTGCGAGACGCCGGACGCGCACCACGCACACGGACACCGCCGACGCGAACGGTCGTTATTACAAGTGTTTTTTTTTTTGAAATATTGTTGATTTTGATTTTTGAATTTTATTTTTGCCAAAATCTCTGGTAATTATATTCTGCCGCGAGTCGTCGGTTTTTTTTTTTTTTTTGGTGTTTTATTATTGTTTCGTCGAAACGGTTTTTGCTAATCATTACAATCAATCCGCGCACGCAAACGCCACGTATCGGCGCTTGTCCGAGAGACGACTGCAGCAGCTTGTCGTTGGCCGCCCGCTGTACACTCGATACGGATGCGATACGCCGTTATCGAAGCCGCAATTAACACTACTCGTAATAATTATTATCAATCCTATCGCCGACAACCGCTAGACGCGTACCGTATGCAAACATGGGTAAGATTAAATAATATGTATTTTATTATCATTTTTTTTTTTTTTTTTTTTAATAATAGGTATACTTAAAAAACTAAAGGTCACAGTCAAGTGGACAGTTCGAGATTAAATTATAAAAAACTATATAAATCATATTTAAACGTTTGCACGGGGTCTGTTTTTTTTTTTTGACGTTTTGACACTACAAAACCAGACAAAATTTCGACTACTCATGATGGTCTAACTTCAAGCTATACCGAGTTCTTGGGCAACTTTATTAGGTTAAGTAGCTTTTAGTTAACTAATTTTGTGATTTTTTTCCGTTTTTTATGTAAAATCAATTGGACTTTAGTATGAGGAAAATTGCAAATTTAATTTATTTAATTACGAGAAACTTAAATTTCTATATGCAAACCCGCTTTTTCTATTTACATAACATGGTAAAGCGGCCAAACAACTGGAGGAATCTCTGCAGAATTAAAATTCGACCGTCCTGAGTAGTCGAAATTTGGTCCAAAATCGAAATTTCTTAAAAGAACTTTTTTCTTAAATACAAAACCCCTTGAAAACAGACCGCATGCAATGTTTTTACTAAAACTCGTTGTATAGTTTCGATTTTTATTTCGGTTACACAATAATATTATGCTGTAACGCTAATGAGAATTTCAATAAAAAAAGCCGCAAACGGTACTGTCGAGTTTAGGCAAAACGGTTATAATATTTGAATACATATATATATATATATATTTTGTAAACTACTAAACGATAATACGACACTAAACTTGTTTCGCCTGAGCTTCTTTAAAACGGCGCATCGTTTTAATTATTATTATTGTGATTTTGTTGTTGTTTGTTTTTGCTCTCGTTTTTGTTGCAACTCATTTGTATAACCTCAGCTTTCTCTGACATTGATTTCGCCGTATGTATAGTGTTGCTGTTTTAATCGCGTGCGTTTAATTAACGGTCGTTAAACGATCAGTGTACTCTGTCGAGTTGACATAAACGATTTGCATTAAATCAACTATTTTTATTGTAGGCCGTTAATTTTATCGTCATACATCACCGTGCAAATCGTTTGAATATCATACGAACGGCAATTAAATTGTTTTTCCTCCGTCAAACGACACGAGTGTCAAAATCATCTAATCACAACCAGTGTGACATAGGTGAATGTTTGTTTTCAGTTTTATTCAGCCATTTTTCAACGTCCCCAAGCCCTAAGCTGACCTAAATGTGCTCATTGAGATTTTCAAAACAAAAGTTAACCCTAAAAGTGTGTTCACCCCTTCCACCAGTTGTGTTCAACTCGCATGTTGTACACGAGTGTATGGGGTTTCTAGTTTGCGTGGTCGTTCAGAATCGATATAATCGATCTCGTTTAGAAAAAAAAATAAAAATGTACTATTCAACGGTACTATTAAATTAAATTGTCGTTTTCCGGATTTCGTCGGCGTTTGTTGTGCGTGTGTACTTCCAGAGAGAGAGAGAGGATGTCTTGCCAGCGGTGTTAAACCGGTTTGGTCATTTTTTTTTTCCATTTGCTCTCGTTCTGCCCGTGTGCGCGTCACACACGATGATAGTAATTATTAGTATGGTGTGATAATATGTGTTTCCCTAAAAATAGCAACACCTGTAATTTTGGCACGTGCTCGTCGTGAATGTCAAGCCGGGCTTGTAAAGGTCACGCCGGGGTAGTGTCACAGTGTAATCGACAATCTCAATGGGGGATAGCAATATTATTATTATTTGCACACAACATGTGGTGTATGTGAAGTTTGACCCCCCTCCCCTCCCCGCCCCCACATAGGATCAATCGTTGCGTTTCGCGGTTCGAGTCTAAGAAACTTATTCGTGCCATTAAAGCCGGCCGACCTTGATTCGAAGTCAACGTGCTTACTGCTTTATACCTGCTCAGATGGACAAAAAAAAAACGACTTAAACGCGGCTTCACAAGTAGTTTCCACCCAAAAAAAAAAACGCGTTCGACAACTTTTTTATTATTGTTTTTATTACACACACACACACGGCCACGATAATTAGGCGGTATGTAATAATTATTATTATCGCCGAGAGGAAGGATAAAAGTCGAATAGTCGACTACTCGGAACTTAACCGTGTAATAAAATACACAATATACCACGTCATACTTGTCTAATAAAAAATGCCAAAGTCAAATGGAATTTTCGTTTAATATTACTAATGACAACCACACGAAATAATAATATTTAATTTGACAGGTTTTTTTCGTACATTGTTTAAGTATGTCGGGTATTAAATATTATATAATACACGCAATTATTGTATACACATTTAAAAGCTGTGCTCGACGTTTTATTATAGGGCTAAAATTGCTTTTTGTATTAGTGCCAGTTGGATTAGTAAAAACTATCGATCAATGACGATTTAGATAATATTTATTAATTAAAATTCAAAATCAATTTAAAGTGTATTTTTTCTTGGCAACTGAAATTAGGTTTAAAGAGCCGCGCAAACTTACATTTTTCTCAGAAGTCATATTGTGTGTACTTATAATTTTTTTTATCACAAAGGATAAAAATCAATACAAGTACAATGATGTGATGTGTTACGCATTGTGTTACTATTGTCTTTTTGTTGTTAGTCTACAGAAAAAAATGCGGATCGATGAGTTCTTTTATGACATGTTTTTTTATGTAGACGGTGAATTTTTAAAGTTGATACGGCTGGTATTCATTAAAAGCAATTATGTTATATAACATAATAACAACCGGAATGAAATACTCAACAACCTTGATCCAAACAACAGTTATTTTAGTACAAAGTTCATTTAATCATATTCACATGTTATATCATTTACAAGACCTTATTTCTTTTTAAATTAAAGCTCATAAAATTACCTGTAGGATTAGTTTAATTAGTACTCTTTGTTGAATATACCGGTTATTACGTATGATGATAATAAAAAAAAAAAATGTTTCGTTTAAATATTTATTTATTCGTATTTTGGTTAATATTGTTGACGAAAAGTCACACACCATAATGCATAGTAATTTTGGACGCATAAAAAACAACTCAATTATTATTGAAATTATCTGGTTTTTCACGTTAGGTATTAAAAAAAGTATATATTTGTTTTTTCTCGGGGAAACTCGACGAGCTAGTCTAATTTATGGCAATTTTATAATATAATATCCTACATGTATAGTATAGTTCTTTAAACTCTGTGCACGAATAGACCTTCGAAAGAAGCCTTTTAATAAAAGTCCCCAAAATGAAGTTTTATGCGTGAAAAACGTTATAGCCATTATTAACATGTCGAAATTGTCTTTTGGTTTTACAGTAGCCGAAGGCACTATGCCAGCAAGGTACCCAGAGGCCGGTCAACAAGCCAACAATGTGGCGGTGAACGGTAACTACGACGATGAAATCGTTATCAGTGGAATTTCCGGACGTCTTCCGGAATCCAACTCTATCGCCGAGTTCAGAGAAAATCTGTTCGCCGGCCTGGACTTGGTGACCGACGACGAAAGACGTTGGCCCGCCGGTAAGACTAAGAGACATTTTTCATTTGTGGTGTTGAAATATTAATAGCCCCATTGTCGTACGTTTCCAGGGTTATACGGTCTCCCCACCAGGACTGGAAAATTAAAGGAACTGGAACACTTCGATGCCAACTTTTTCGGCGTGCACGCCAAACAGGCCGAAGTCATGGACCCGCAGTTGAGATTGATGTTGGAAAGCACTTACGAATGTATAGTAGACGCCGGTAAGACTAATTGTCAATTAGCGGTTACCACTTGTATATTACATTTTTCTCCAACTACACGGGGTCGGCCACCCTAGTCCTACATCCACATAGAACTAAATCTTCTACATCTCGTTCATTCACCCCAGCTATCCTTATGTCACTCTCTGTTCCGTCTATGCGTCTTTCTCTTCCTCTCTTTCCCTCTACGTTCATCTTCGCAACAACCAACTCTCACTGCCATCTCAACCTATTCTCTCTCATATGCCCCACAATTGATACAACTGCTAGACTCCTTCATCTTATGTATCCATTTGTTATCACTCCACTCGTCCATCTTGGCATTCTCATCTCCGCTACGCTCATCCTCTGTTCAGTTTTCTTGTCTACTGCCCAACATGACTACCGTCTACATTTCAACCTGACGCTGCCCTCCACTTCATGATTCCATTTATATTAATACATGTGCCCGTCGGTCGAATTAGGAGTGAACCCCGACGATATCCGTGGCTCGAAAACCGGCGTGTTCATCGGCGCTTCCAACAGTGAGACCGACGATTACTTGAGCAGAGTCCCAGACCGCGTCAACGGTTACGGATTGACCGGATGTTGCCGGGCTATGTTCCCCAACAGGGTGTCGTACACGTTCGATTTTAATGGGCCCAGTTACGCCATTGACACGGCTTGCTCTAGCAGTTTATTTGCACTGTCACAAGCCGTGCACGCCATCAAGAGCGGGCAATGCGAAGCCGCCATTGTCGGAGGCGTCAATCTCCTTTTGAAGCCCACGAATTCGTTGCAGTTCCACAAGTTGAGCATGTTGTCGCCGCAAGGCATGTGCAAAGCGTTCGACGTTACCGGTGAGTCTAGTCGTCTGGTTTTGCCTGTGTTTGCTTAGCTGCGCGACAGCCGCTGACTGATTTTGTTTGTGTCTCCAGGAAACGGGTACGTCAGGAGTGAAGCTGTCGTCACGGTTTTCTTGCAGAAAGCTAGCGTGGCCAAACGTAGTTACGCCTCGATTCTCGGTGCACTTACCAACACCGACGGATTCAAAGATCAAGGAATTACGTTCCCCAGCGGAGCCATGCAAAACAAACTAATCCAAGAGGTCTATGCAAAGTCCGGCGTGAATCCCAATGAAATCGCCTACGTGGAAGCTCACGGTACCGGAACAAAGGTGGGCGATCCGCAAGAAGTAAACTCCATTGCCGACTTCTTCACGAAAGGCCGCAATTCTCCGTTGTTGATCGGGTCCGTCAAGTCGAACATGGGTCACTCCGAACCCGCGTCCGGCCTGTGCTCGCTGGCCAAGATTGTGATCGCCATGGAAGCCGGAAAGATCCCTGGGAATTTGCATTTCGCCAATCCCAACCCCGACATCCCAGCGTTACTCGACGGCAGACTGCAGGTGGTACACAAAAATTGGGAATTCAACGGCGGTTATGTCGCGTTGAACTCGTTCGGTTTTGGCGGTGCCAACGCCCACGTTCTGTTGAAATCCAATCCCAAACCGAAGACGGCGCCCATACAAAACAACGTACCCCGTTTGGTAGCCGTTTCCGGTAGGACACACGACGCCGTGAACAACATGTTGGCCAACGTGAGTTATTTGCGCGGTACCTTACCACCGACTTGAGTTTACCGTATTTTTGCTAATTTCAGATCGGCAACACTCCTTTGGACGACGACTTCATTGCGCTGTTGCACGACATCCATACAAACAACATCAACAACCACGGTTACAGAGGATTTTCCGTTTTAGGAAAATCTATTACCGAAGTATCCGTAAGTTTGCTGTTTCTTTCTTTCGGTCGGTCGACGCCAGTCGGGTTCAAAAAGTGTTAACGAATTATTTAATTACAGGAAGTGCCGGCCGGCAAGAGACCAGTGTGGTTTGTTTTCTCCGGAATGGGAAGTCAATGGGCTGGTATGGCCGAAGGTCTGCTTCAATTGGAGCCGTTCGCCAGGGCCATCAACAGGGCAGCTGCCGTCCTCCAAGTGGAAGGTCTCGATCTGTTGAGCGTCATCAACTCTAAAGACGAAGTGACGTTTGACAACGTCCTTAACTCGTTCGTATCAATTACATCCATGCAGGTAATTTCGTTATGACTACAAATAATTGCTTTAGCTGTCGACAAACCTGTTGTAATTAGATCTTCACTGTATGTGTATTGCTTTAATTACTTGCCTAGGTCGCCTTAGTCGACTTATTGAAATCCATCGGTATCGAACCAGACGGTGTGGTTGGTCACTCGGTCGGTGAACTTGGTTGCGCTTACGCTGATGGTACCTTCAATGCCGACCAAGCGGTTCTGGCTGCATTCTGGAGAGGTCGTAGTATTTTGGAATCCAAATTATCTGAAGGATCCATGGCTGCAGTTGGTAAGTATTTGAGTAATTTTATTTTATGCTTCTCTGCAGTTCAACAATTGTAGTGTTTTATTTTGCTTTTTAAGGTTTATCTTGGGAAGAGACGAAAAAGCGATTGCCCGAAGACTTGATAGCAGCTTGTCACAACAGCGAAGACAGTGTCACCGTGTCTGGTCCTCCTAAGAGTCTCAGTGCGTTCGTCAAGACTCTACAAGCCGAAGGTATTTTCGCTAAAGAAGTTAAAAGTTCTGGATTCGCTTTCCACTCCAGTTATATCGCCGACGCCGCACCTAAACTCAGAAGCAACTTAGAAAGAGTACGTTTTTGGTTTCCAAAAATATAATTATTTCCGGCACATAGACGTTTTTATTTTTTACACGTTTCATTTTTTGTTTTCTACAGATCATACCTAACCCAAAACCACGTACAAAGCGTTGGATCAGTTCTTCAATTCCCGAAGAGAAATGGAACACACCTTTAGCTCAAATGAGCTCTACCGCTTACCACGTTAACAACTTATTGGCTCCAGTCTTGTTCCACGTAAGTGTGTTTTGTAATAAAATGTTGAGTTTACACAAAATAGTACACTTTTATTATATTTAAAAATGTATAATGGATTTCTCTGCAATTATTTATATAGGAAGCAATTTCGCACGTTCCAAAGAACGCTATTGTCGTAGAAATCGCTCCTCACGCCTTGTTACAAGCCATTTTGAAAAGAGCTTTGGGACCTGAATGTTCTTGCATCGGTCTTACCAAGCGCTCTACTAACCCTGAAGGAAACCTACCGCATTTGTTGTCTGCAGTTGGAAAGTGAGTGTACTTTCTTCTCCCTAGAAGCGGCAATTTACGAATTGTGTTTTAAATGTTTTATTGTTTCGCTTAGACTGTACAACGCTGGAGTCCAACCGAAAATTCAGAACTTATACCCAGCTGTGTCGTACCCCGTGGCTCGTGGAACACCAATGATCCAGTCTCTAATCGAATGGGACCATTCCGTCGAATGGGCCGTTGCTAACTTTGCTCAAAAGGTAACTTAAGATTATTTTGATTATTTTTTAGTGTACAAGTAGTGTAGTTTAACCGTCAATTAATTAAAAAAATTTAGGACGCTGGATCTGGCGAATCTGTCGTCAAAGTCGACTTGAGTACCGAAGAAGATCAATTTTTGTCTGGACACGCTATCGACGGTAGAGTTTTGTTCCCGGCTACTGGCTACTTGGTAAAATTTGAAATGAATTAATTGTCAATTTAACGAGAATTATCTCATTGTTGTGTGATGTCTATATTTTACAGACGCTCGTCTGGAACACATTCGCCAAACTTCAAGACAAGAACATCGAAGATTTCCCGGTCGTAATTGAAAATGTACAATTCTTGCGCGCTACCATCATGCCCAAAGACGGTAATTGTTATTTAAAAAAATATATATTTAAATGATTTTTACTGTAAATGAATTGCATAATATTGTTGTAAATATTTTTGTGAACCCCCCTACAGGAAACGTCAACTTCCTCATAAACATTTTCGAGGGAACTGGCAACTTTGAGATTTGCGAAGGAGGTTCGGTAGCCGTGACTGGTAAAATTTATATCCCCGAAGATATTGAATTGGAACAACTGGAATTGCCCGAACCGGACGTCGAGGAAAACGGCTTGTCATTGAAAACCAACGATATCTACAAAGACTTGGGTCTCCGAGGATACGACTACAAAGGAGTATTCAGAGGAGTCAAAGAGGCTGACAACAGAGGTATATTGTAATTTAGCTAGTTTTGAATATTATTATTAATATAATATATAATCTGGACACTTTTCTGTATCAGGCATCAGTGGTAAATTGGAATGGATTGGAAACTGGATCAGTTTCATTGACACGATGCTTCAGTTCTCCATATTGGGTCTGAAAACCAAGGAGTTGTACTTGCCAACTAGAATGCAAAGAGTTGTTATCGATCCGAGAAAACATTTGGATTACATCGAAGGACTCGAAGAGAAAGCCCGTGAGTGTTAATTGGGGGTGTTGAGTTATTTTAAGATTTTTTTTAATTAATCTACTTGAAATTTTTCAGCCGTTCCCGTGTACATGTACAGAGATATTGATGTCATTAAGTCCGGTGGTGTCGAATTGCGTGGCATGAAAGCTAGTTTGGCTCCGAGGAGACAACAGTCGCAAGCCGCTCCTAAATTAGAAAAATACACATTCGTACCATACGTTTCTGAAAAAGTATATACAAACACACCACTTTAAAATATATATTTGTTGAAAAAATGTTCATGCGTTTATGTTCAACTAATATTTTCAATTTTAGCTGACTCCTCCAATTGACGTCATTAACACTTTCGCCATTTTCCTTCAAATCGTATTGGAAAACAGTGCCGGTGCAATGAAAATAAAATTAGTTGAATTCGGGGCTGATAAACCTTTTGAAGGTATATTCATGCCTAACATTGTCAACGTATTGGAATCTGAACCGTTAATTGCGGTGAGCACTTAAACAATATACTAAAATATTATAACACAGAATGAATTATAAAACCCATAATTTTTGGGAAAATACCAATCGTTGTTTTCATTTGCCAAATGTGTTGTTTTAGTTGGACGCAACTCTAGTCACGAGCCAGGCTCAAGCTTTGGCTCCATTTTTGGGACCAATGGAAGTTAAAATGGCCAACAAGTCTTTAGAAAACGGTCCGATTGATGTTAATGCGCACGTTGCTATTGCTTTTGACGTTTTGGGATCTCCGTCTTTACTAAACAACCTGATAGAATCCGTGAAACCGGGCGGTTTCGTCATCTCCGGCGAATCGAACAGCGTTTCTGAAAGCAGTATTGCTCAGAGTGGTCTCGATCTCATCAGCAAGTTGCCGGCCGAAGACAAATTTTTCTACTTGCTCAGAAAGGTATTGTTAAATCGGCCGAGAGTTTTTACCCGTTCAATTTACACAAAAAAAAAAAAAAATCCATAACGATAGTTTTGAAATTAATTTTCTCATTCGATTATTACAGGTGGATGATGTAGTGCCGGTCACCGAGGTTATCCAGGTAACCGAACAGTCTTATGGTTGGGTGGAGACGTTAAAAGCCGCTTTGAAATCGGCCGAAGCGGACGCTAGCAAAAAATATCTAGTTTACGCACAAGGCGAAGACACCAACGGAATCGTGGGCCTGATCAACTGTGTTAAACAAGAACCCGGTGGCAACAGTGTGAGGTCCGTGTTCATCCAAGATCCATCGGCTCCCAAGTTCTCGTTGACCGAACCCAAATACGCCGAACAACTCAAGAAAGACCTGTTGAGCAACGTGTTGAAGCCGAACGGAGTGTGGGGCACGATGAGACATTTGAAATTGGAAAGCAAACAGGACAAACCGTCGCTGCAAGTCGAACACGCGTACATTAACGCGTTGACGAGAGGAGATTTGAGCAGCTTGAAATGGATCGAAGGACCTCTGACCTATTACAAGTATGTTTTGTCAATTTTCAAAAACCATTTTATCACTCTTGACGTGTTTGTCTAATTGCGACCGTTTTTGTGTTTAGACCCGAATCTGACCCGAACACAGAGCTGTGCACCGTCTACTACGCTCCATTGAACTTCCGTGATATTATGTTGGCTTCTGGAAAACTTCCTCCGGACGCATTGCCGGGAGACTTGGCGGGACAAGTATGTGTTTTGACATTTCGCCGAAAACGTAAATAGATTAATTTTGTTCACAAATCGAACTTGCCTCCTACAGGACTGTATACTCGGATTGGAATTTTCTGGTCGCGACACCAAAGGCAGGAGAGTGATGGGTATGCTTGCCGCCAGAGGATTGGCCACCACCGTTCTTGCCGATCCCGGTTTCTTGTGGGTCGTGCCGCAAAAATGGTCGTTGGAACAAGCTTCGACGATACCTGTCGTTTATGGAACCGTGAGCTATTATTCTGTTCAAACTGATTGTGAAACATGACTAATTTTTTCTTATTTTTAGGCTTACTATGCTCTCTGTGTCAGAGGACACATGAAGCGCGGCGACTCGTTGCTGGTGCACGCCGGTACCGGAGGTGTCGGTCAAGCCGCCATCTCTATTGCACTTCACATGGGAGTCACTGTTTACACCACCGTCGGTAGTAAACAAAAACGCGAATTCTTGAAGAAAACTTTCCCCAAGGTAGTGTTGTTTGTTTTCGGAATTCGTATTCATTCGGTCGGCGATGATATAATATTAACGTGTTTAACCGTGTTTTCAGCTGACCGACAAAAACATTGCCAACTCTCGGGACACCAGCTTCGAACAACACGTGCTCAGACAAACCAAAGGACGTGGTGTGGATCTCGTCCTGAACTCGTTGGCCGACGATAAGCTGCAAGCTTCCGTCCGGTGTTTGGCCAAAGACGGTCGTTTCCTCGAAATCGGCAAGCTCGATTTGTCCAACAACAGTCCACTCGGGATGTCGGTGTTCCTGAAGAACACCACGTTCCACGGAATCCTTTTGGACTCGCTGTTCGACGTGAAGTCCGAAAGCCAAGACAAGAAAGAAGTGGTCAGACTGCTCAACGAGGGCATACAGAACGGCGCCGTGCAACCGCTGCCGGCCACCGTTTTCAACGAGTCGCAGGCGGAACAAGCGTTCCGGTTCATCGGATCCGGCAAGCACATCGGAAAGGTCGTGTTGAAGATCAGAGACGAGGAACAAGCGTCCGTGGTGAAGCCGCCTGCCAAATCGGTGACGGCCATACCGAGGTCCTACATGAACCCGGACAAAACGTACGTGCTCGTCGGCGGTCTGGGCGGTTTCGGTCTGGAACTGGCCAACTGGCTGGTCGTCAGGGGCGCCAAGAAACTCGTGTTGACCGCCCGCAGCGGCATCACCACCGGATACCAAGCCCTGAGCGTCAGGAACTGGACGGAAGGCGGAGTGAACGTGTTGATTTCCAAGGCGGATTGTTCGACCCTGAAAGGAGCTCAGCAGTTGATCGACGAGAGTAAGAAGTTGGGACCCGTCGGAGGCGTTTTCAACTTGGCCGCCGTGAGTATTTCGTTATCGGTTATAGGGGGGGGGAGGGTTACCATTGATTTGTTTACCGCTGGGGATCACCTATAGCCTCGGCTACGCATTTTTCACACGTGTCTTACGATTTAGGTTTTGAGAGACGCTTTCTTGGAAAACCAAACGCCCGAAGATTTCGAAATTGTCAGCAAACCGAAAGTGATCGGTACTAAAAATTTGGACGCCGTCACGAGGAAATCTTGCCCGGACTTGGATCATTTCATTGTGTTCTCGTCCGTGTCTTGTGGACGCGGTAATGCCGGTCAGACCAACTACGGTTTTGCCAATTCCGTCATGGAAAGGATTTGCGAGGCTAGACAAGAAGCTGGACTTCCTGGGGTGAGTTGACGACAAAAAAAAAAAAAACCCACTGTGCTGTCTAATTTCAATGCCAGGTCACTCAAAAACGGTTTTATTTTCATTGCATGTATGCAGTTGGCCATCCAGTGGGGAGCCATCGGAGACGTGGGTCTTATCATGGAGACAATGGGTGGAAACGACACTGTGGTCGGCGGTACCTTGCCCCAACGTATGGCGTCCTGTTTGAACGCTTTCGACACGTTCTTGCAGCTGCCCCAACCCGTTTTGGCGTCGATGGTGTTGGCCGAGAAGAGGAAGAGCGGAGCTGGCGGTTCGAGTCAGGTGAGCCTGATCGACGCCGTCGCCAACATACTGGGAATCAAAGACACCAAGAACATCAACGTGTCGGCCACGTTGGCGGATCTGGGTATGGACTCTTTGATGGGCGCCGAAATCAAACAGACGTTGGAAAGGAACTACGACTTGGTGTTGAGCGTCGGAGAAATCAGGACTTTGACGGTGAAGAAATTGCAAGAATTACAGAACGACGGCTCTGAAGAGACGGCTGCGGCGGCCGACACCAACGGAGTGACGGCTGGCAACGATCAGGTTCGTACGACAACCAATAACTTGCCGTTTCTTTTGTAAGGACGATGTGTGTGGTCATTGTGTATAACGTGTTGTTGGCGGCGCTGCTTTAGGTGGAATTCAGTAAAAATTTAGTTCCTCAAGAAACGGTGGTCGACATGAAAAAGGAAGACAACGGCAAACCCAATCTGTTCATGTTCAGCGCAATCGAAGGCTTCGTGTCGGCGTTACAAGACGTCGCGTCCAAATTGCCGTTCAACGTCTACGGACTCCAGTGCACCCAAGACGCTCCCACGGACTCGATGACGTCTTTGGCCAAATTCTTCATATCCGTAAGTGGTGGTGGTGGTGGTAGTTTGCTGCGGCACCGTTGACCTAACCGTGTTAACACGAGTGCTCTTTTTTTGTTTTTATCTCGTCTAGAAAATCAAAGAGGTGCAAAAGTCTGGTCCGTACAATCTAGTCGGATACTCGTTCGGCGCGTCCGTCGCCTACGAAACCGGTGTCAACTTGGAAGCGTCCGGCGACAAAGTCAACCTGGTGCTGTTGGACGGTTCCCCGGCTTACGTGTTGACCCATCAGAACGCGTTCAAAAATCGACACTCCGACAACAAAGTAGACGAAAAGGACGCGTACGCGTACTTTGTTTTGCTGTTCAAAGAATTGGAATACCAAACGGTGAGTCAGAATTTGGCGGTGGTCGTGTCTGTAACGTCTATCTCTATACGGTCGTTGTGTTTGTTGTTTGCTGTCGTTTAGGTGTACGACCAAATAGCGGCGAAAGCCACTCAGGAAGAACAACTCGACGAGGTGGTCAACATCCTGTCGGACTTGCCGTTGGACAAACAGCAGCTGAAAGCCGCCGCCAAACTGTTCTACGGCAAGCTGTTCGTGTCGTTCTATTACAAACCCGAAAAGTTCGGCGGCAACGTCACGTTGGTCACGGCCAAAGACAACTTTGTATCTCTCGGATCCGACTACGGTCTGAAATCTGTAAGTGTTCGCTACGCCGGTGTTGTTTTATCGACCCCACCCCACCCGACCCGACCAAAGTCCACGGTTATTGACGTCCATCGTTTTTATCTTTTCAGCTCTGCAACGGCGCCCTGAACATCCATTCCGTGTCCGGAGACCACAGACAAATAGTGAAAGGCGAATCGGCCAACTCTGTTGCCCAGATCATATCTTCCTCTCTTGTATAACTCTGTTATCTGACTAAATCTCTTAAGACGTTGTGTTTAAGTTAAATAATTTCTTATGTTTGGTTTGGAAGTAATTTAAATTTATTTTTATACGTACGTTTAACGAAATTAGTTTTTTTTTTTTTTTTTTTAAACTGCACAAAACATTTATTATTATTATTATTATTTTTTTTTTGTTACGTTACGTTGTCGAGCAAACTGTGTAGATTATATTATATATACATATATATATATATATATTTATAAATATCATGTTGTTGTAAATTTTTTTTTTTTAAATTTGTTGTTTTTTCGACTTTTGTTATGCTTGTGAAAATTGTTCATTGAGTTTAGGACTTATTTTAACGATAAGAAAATATTCGTTTCGGACACTATATTATTATTATTATTTTTTTTTTTCGTTGATTTGTTCCAACGCATTCCAAAAAAGTGTGTTTATTACTTAAGTAGTTAACCGTATATTATATGATATAAGTGAAATAAACTATTATTGTGTTTGAAATACTCGGATGTTGTATTATTGATTTATTGTGATGGGTATTTTTTTATTTAAAGTAAAACTCATTAAAAAAAACATTTCAAACAAAAAACGTCGAATAATAATATTAAACAAATATTTTTTTTATAAAAACGATTTAATATTACGGTCAATACAAAAATTGTTCAAAAAATAGGTTTTCAACTCGTAAAAGTAGTCGAGCACATAAATAAGTGTTTTATCCGAAAATTATTGATTTTCTTTAACTTAGAAAATATATATTATTAAACCATATTTAAGGCGATATTGTGTAACACAGTCAATGGATAGCGTAATAAAACAAATAGTATTTTCAAAAAGTTGAACGAAAAAATATGATGTAGATTTGGTTGCCTAACTTGCCACCAACTAAGGCGCTGGCATTTATCAGGTCCTTATCGAATGTTGCTTATTATATTTTGTCCAATAATAAATACCGGGACACAATCATTAACGTCTTCTACAATAATGTTAAATATATTATTTTAACACAAACACTTAGCACAGTACCTAATAAAAGATTAATGGCGACAGCGAATTTAGCCGGCCGGCCCCGTTTGTAAGGAAACAGGCTAAGAAGACGAATCAATGGACAAATTGCATTCAGTCTGCTGAAATGTAAAAAACCAAAACTGTCCACGTCTGTAGACGAACCGTTTCTAAAATAATATAAAAGTTCAATTTTCATAGTTTCCAATGCCTTTCTCGGATCAGCAACAAAACCAAATAAATGCATCGAGAGCGTGTAAAAAAAAAATCGAATGTATATCAGTTAGTAATGCCAACACGCATAATACTACAACGCGATTGACAAAGCTTATCGCCCGTTAAGCTATGGGTAATTATTATAGAACCGATCGGTAATCTGATATTATGTAACAAACACAAGCCAAGGTTAAAAATAAAAAATTAAAAAACCATAGAACACATATTTTACAATAGCGATTTTGTAGTCGAAACACTAATGGCTTTCTGGTAGGCACTGTGACAAGTGTGGCTTTTAAACGTTAAACCCAAAACCAATAGTGTCGCGTTATACTTAAAGAAATTTAGACCTGCCGCACAATACGTGATAAATAATAAAAAAAAAAAAATGATCAAGCTTAAACGATGGGGGGGGGGCGAATTTTGCCTAGCGAAATGCCATATTTACAACAATGACTCGCATCAAAGAAGGGAGGGGGATTCCACCCTATTTAAAAAAAAAAAAAAATGTGATTTTTATTAATAACATAGAGTAAAAAGTTCTCTCGAGAAATTTTGGCCACATTGTCTACTGGTTAACGATTGTAGTAATGTAAACGCAATGTAAAATTCCAAACGGTTTCTACGTTAGCTAGAGCTGATAGTGAAAGTTGCTTCATTTTTTTATTTTAAAATTGATGATTTGTTTTGAAAACTGTAATTTTATCAATAGTTTAGCTATTATCTAATGTAAGGTTGGGTATTTAAAAAAAAAAAAAAATTATATCGTTAAATTGAAATTTTTTTGAATTTGACAAAACGCTGTACTAGTACATTTTCCGTTGCAAATGACCTCTACAATCGTCCGACCGAGTATTGACGTTTAGCATACTCGAGCTCCTTCACTTTTAGAATCGGAATTAGAATTTGTAAAATATTTAGGGGGAAAGGGGGCAACTGCACCCCCCTCCCTCTTCGCTTTCTACCCCTTTTTAGGACGCCCTTGTTGGCTGAATGGCGATATAATAAATAATAACTATAGAGAATGGTGAGTTCAGTGTAATTATTATTATTAACTAAAATTTAATCCCCCCCCCCCCCAAAAAATATTGCTTTTTGACTTGAATATCAGTTAAATTGTACTCTGTCATTGGAAAAATTAAAAAAATGATGATTACACGAACTTTAGACTTGGTTTTATATTATGTTGACAATGAAATAATAATAGTAAAATTATTCTAGTTCCTGTAAGTAATTAATGTCAAACAATTTGTGATTACCTTTATCTATGGAGAGCGAGGGTTATTTTAAGTTGACAGTTTTGGCGAGGGCTGTAGCCCCCCCCCCCAGAATTTAAACCCTAGTCGCCCATATTGGGAGGGGGATACCAACCTTCCATTTTTTTAGTTTGTATTTTTCAAATTAATTTTTAAGCACTTTGACCAATGCCGTTAAGTCGTAGTTGGCCGATTGGAAAATGGAAAAACAAAATAAAAAAAATAATAATTGATTGTTTGTCGCCATAGTGTAGTTTTTTTATTTATCAGATTCGTTAAACAACAACAATAATAACAACAACGTACAACGGTCGTGCCGATTTGCCCAGCCTACAATGTCGGACGATTATTTAGTGTGTGAAAACTTGGAAAGTGGCGTGGCCGGCAGTCGTGTGGACATTGCGGAGTCCGTGGACGGCGGCGACCGGGAACGGCGGTCGGCAACGGCGTCGGTCGGCAACGACCAGAGCAGCACGTGCACGACGGCGGCCGACGATGGCAATGATAATAGTAATTATTGGATACCGAAGGGACGCAAAGACGCGGTAAAGGCGCTGTCCAAGATGCGTGTGGCGACCCTGAAAGCCATCAAAGGCCTGATCCTGGACGGAGTGCCGGCCGAGAGACGACGCGAAGTCGAACGACGGTACGCCAACATCTTGCGGCAAGTGGCCGACACCACGAGGGAAGTCGATTACGTTGGCCGGTTCGAAGACGACGAAGAGCTCGTCAAGGCCCTTTACACGAAGCTCTATTGGCTAGAAAACGAGTTCAACTCGACTCGCAACTTCCACCACGGACTCATATACGCGGCCAACGGCAGCAACCATGATAACACGGCGAATACTTGTCCAATAATTTGACACCGAAACGGGCAACATATAAGATTATGAGGTTAACCACTTTAAGAATAAATGTTTATCCCAAAATTGATCAGACACCTTATTATTGACACACCTGTAAACGGTTCATATAAATAAATCATTTTCATTTTTTGAAAACCTAATATTACTATAATTATTCGTTCCCCGGCCATAGAAGTTATAATATTAGCAAAATCGGATCTAAAACTAATCCCCTTAGAAGTTTATTTAAAGCATAAACATTAATGTCCTCGCAAACCCGTTTGGCAGGGATGAAAATTGGACATGTAAACAAACGTAAGGAAAAACAACAATTTTTTTTTTAACTCAATACAACGAACCGAGTGTAAACTAATCGTTCTTTCTTTTTAGTCAAAACTTATTATATACTTATTACAATGGTCAAAAGTAATATTTAATTATCGTGTGACTGGCGTATGTGCTTATATTATGTGTATTCTAAACAATTGTTTATTTCCACGTGTGTGTCAAGTTGTTCTGGCAAAACAACCTAAAGGTTTATTATTGAAGATAATACTTTAGTGGTATAAACCATTTAGGATATACCTATTTTATAGTTATAATAAAAAACAGTAAGAACCTAATCGCGGGTAGAAAAAAAACAACGTGTAAAACATAAATACACATTGTAGTTTGAAACGAAATATGTATGATATGTATGGAACAAAATACTCAGTTTTTCAGGAACGTGCACTGGTTAGGCTAGGTTGGTCTCGTTTATTACAAGAGTTTTTTTAATGATTTCGATTATGTTTTTTTTTTTTTGGGCTTTAGGTGGAAAATGTTACAATTATTAGTATAACATTTACTCTCGATGGTTTGAACAAAATATAATTATTAAATTTACAATATTTAGTAGATATTTAAAGAGTATATATTATATAATATTGATGTGCATAAAAATATTATTGTTTCCAAACGAAATTTTTGTACGGCTTTTTTAAATATTTAAAAAAAAATATCATACAAGTAAAATCAATGTCGCTGCATTTGCCGGGTGCGATAACACAGTTAACACCGCGTTAGAGGTGCCTGTGAGTGTCATGAAAGTTTATCGACGTGAAATTAATTTCGCTAATATCAATTATGTAACCATCTAAATGAATCCCGTAACGCTTTGCGTGGTCGGTAAAAAATAACGCGCACGTAACCAAAGCGAAAAAAAAAGAAAAAAAGTGCGCTTGTATTGAATAACCGACGACCGTGGTGACATTTGGTACACGATTGAAACGGTATTTAAACGGCTTGTCCTTTACCGGGTTGACTTTAGTAGTGCCATTTCGTATTGGGCGTGTAAAGTATTAACACATTTGTGTCGGTCAGTTAGCTGTTTACTATAAGTCAGTTTACTGTTGTAAGTAGCTGGTTGTTGGACATTGTTAAAGTTGTAGACATTTTGTTTTCGACGGAATAAAAAAATTTGTGCATCCGGTTGTTTTTTAGTTTTCGTTATCAAACTCTATAAAACAAAACAAAAATGGCACCGAACGCGGCACCAACTGTTGGGAGTCAACCGAAGTACTTCGAAGACGACGACGTCGTCATTTCCGGTATTTCCGGTCGGTTTCCCAACTGTGATACGTTCGAAGAGTTCAAACAGAAACTTTTCAACGGCAACGACATTCTGGCCGAAGGACAAAGCCGATGGCCCGAAGGTAACAGTCGCGTTTTAATTATTGCACTATTATTGGGCAAAATCGTTTTTTCACAATAATTAATTAATCAACCCTAAGCGGTGTTTATTATACTCGATACAATATTACTAGAAGACAAGAATATTGCGCTCATTGTGAAAATTCGTTGAAAATATTTTTGAATCGCTCAATTTGCTGATTGCTGTACTTTGGGGTTTATATTATCGAGCTGTATTAAAAAAAAAATATACTACATTTGGAAGCTAAATAAAAAAAAAAATACACTTATTCATTCTTCTGTAATGTTATAATAGTTAGTAATAGTATATTATTATTTTGTTCGATTGGTTCGACGCAATGGTCAGACTTCATTATTCTTATTGATATCATATTATTAATACTCTGCGAATAATGAATATTGATTAAATGTTCTTAGTCTTTGAAATGTCATTTATTTTGTAATTTTTTTTTTTTAATAAATATTTTACATTTCATGCGAATAAATATTTCTTGAACATATTCTTCTATATTAAGGGTATTTTTTTAGTGAAATTCGTTAAAAATAGAATTTAATAAAATAATTTAAATCGAACACGAGGTAAAAAATGTTTTTTTTTTAAAAGAAGTAATATAATTGGTATGCAATTGCAATTTGCAACTGTACACATAAATAGAAAACAAGTATTTTTACCCGTTTAATTGATGGTTAATAAATAATTAATAATTCGCAAAAGTAATAGTGTATGATTTAATTAGTTGATTATGGTTATAGTAGATATGGTTTAATCATTCATTTACAAGTCGAGTGATATTATTTTAATTTTACCTTTTCCTAAACAAAAAAGAAATTACAGCTCTAGCTGTGTTGATACTAAATAAATGTATGGTTATTTTATCAGTTAATTTATACTTGCGCGTTCTTTGGGGAAGTTAAAAATGTTTTGCCCGTTTACCATGAATTGCGATTGCCGTCTTATTAGAACCAATAGGACACAATCGTATTATTTACTGTCCTTGGTCTGTATACAAACGTTTACAGAACACATTTGTTTAAAGAAAATACTAACTAGATCTTGTTAATTTTACACAATCATTTCGTACCTTTTTGTGTACAGTTTTTCCTACTTTTTTTTATCTCCTTTTAAATCACAACATTTTACCGTTTAGGCACTCACGGAGCCGTCACGAAAATCGGAACCGTCAGCGGTTTGTCGAAATTCGATTCGACCTTTTTCGGTGTACATCCGAAGTTGGCCGACAGAATGGATCCGCAGATCCGTGTGATGTTGGAGAGCACTTACGAGGCTTTCGTGGACGCCGGTGTGTATACTTTTTTTTGTTTAGCACGCCACACAAAAAGGGATTTTTTTTTTTTGGTCAACCCGACATTTGTTTGTTCCAGGAGTGAACCCCACGTCTCTGAGGGGTTCGAAGACCGCGGTGGTCGTGGCCACCACCAACAACGATTCGGCCGATTGGTGGTCCGCCGATCCCGACCGCGTTAACGGTTACGAATTTTTGGGCTGCACCAGGACCATGTTTCCCAACAGGATCTCGTACTCGTTCGACTTGAAAGGTTTGTGTGTCAGGAGCGCCCCCATGTTGCTGGACGTGACTGCAGTCGGTCGGATTTAAAATGTTTTTCTCTGCAAATTTTCTCCCAGGTCCTAGCTATTCGATCGACACCGGCTCTTCCAGCAGCATGCTCGCCTTTGAGCACGCCTACAGGATGATCAAGACCGGCGTGGCCGACGGCGTCGTGGTGGGAGGTTGCTCGTTGCTGCTGAACCCCGTGTTGTCGGTGATGTTGCAAAAGCTCAACGCCATTGACCCGGAAGGAAAAAGCAGACCGTTCGACGCTAGCGGTAAGCACAGTCCAAATCATTGGTTGACGCCAACACATTTGGCAGCTGACGGGATACAACATTTTCACTGTCATGTTTCAGGCCAAGGATTTGCACGGACCGACGCCATTGTGACGGTGTACTTGCAACGAGCGAAAAATGCAAAACGCGTTTACGCCACCGCTCTAAATGCCTGCGCCAACACGGAGGGTTTCCGTTTGGAAGGTGCTACCTACCAATCCAACGTCCAACAAATCGAATTGTTCAAGGAAGTGCTGGGCAACACCAAACTCAGCCCAGACGACGTGGTGTACGTCGAAAGTAGCGCATGTGGCGATCAGGTAATTGCTTCAAGTTATCAAAAAAAAGCCCGTGACGTCAATGTCTCGATTCTGACAGACTGCCATTCCTCGTTCAGTAAAACATATCTCCCCGAAACAAGCCTTAGTAGTTTAGTAGAGTAAATACATATTTAATAATTGATCGAAATTCAATTCCATTAGTTTGGCGACGCTCAGGAACTCAACGCAGTCACAGAGGTTTACTGTAAGAACCGTTCGAAGCCGCTGTTGATCGGTTCCGTCAAGTCCAATATTGGCGATGGCGAACCGGCTTCCGGAATCTGCTCGGTCGTGAAAACCGTGTTAGCCATGGAGTACCAAGAAATTCCTCCGACCCTCAACTACAGCTCTCCGAATCCCCAAGTGCCAGCTCTCAAGGACGGCAGGCTTCAGGTGGTCAGCAAATCGCTACCGTGGAAAGGCGGTGTTGCCGCAGTGAACTCTGTGGGAATCGGCGGAGTAAACGCCCACGCCCTATTAAAATCCAGTGGCAAAGAAAAGAAACCTCTACCGCAAGATGCTATTCCTCGCGTAGTAGTAGCGTCAGCAAGAACCGAGAGTGCGATTAACTACATGTTGAACAGAGTGTGTACAATAGATTATAATATATCGTTTTTGCCTACTGCACTCGTTGTAAATAAACGTTATTGAGACATTGCATTATATTTTATTTTACAGGTTGAATCCGCCCCAAAGGATCCCGAGTTCTATGGTCTCTTGTATGGAGTTCAAAGCGAAAATATTCCTGGACATAATTTCAGAGGATACAGCATTCTTGGCGAACAAGACAACCGAGAAATCGCCGTGAGTCAATTGACTTGTTATTTTTTTTACACATACATTCATACAGTTTTATCTAGCATTATATTTAATATCCGATTACTATGGACCTAACACATGTATCAATAACTAGGTAGAACTGGCTGAATGTATTATAATTATAGACACTTAATGGATCTAGAAATAGTCATAAATTTAGGGAAAGAAGTTTCAGTTTTTACACTAAACAAAAAAACTAAATAAAACAAAACAAATCGTAGTAGAGCCTACAAAACATATTTCAAGTACAATATAAATTGAGCCAAAAAGCTTATCCTTGGGGTCGTAGTGTTGGTTCAAAGATTACTGATAATTAAAATATAAATTGTATCCAGGTTATCGGAGCGGGTAAGCGTCAGGTATGGTACGTATTTTCGGGTATGGGAAGTCAATGGACCGGTATGGGCCGGGATCTTTTGGCGTTACCTCCTTTCCAAAAGTCGATTGAAAATACCGCAAACACCTTGAAATCACTCGGATTGGATTTGTATGCCATTTTCAACTCAAACGACAAAACCGTTTTCGATAACGTACTGAACTCGTTTGTTGGAATCGCCGCCATACAAGTAAGTTGGCGAAACAATATTATAATCTATACCAAAGAAAATATATTATGTTACCGTTGCTAATACACATCACTTGTAGATCGCTTTGGTGGATGTGCTGAGTGCAGTGGGAATCACGCCCGACGGAATCGTCGGACACTCTGTTGGTGAATTGGCCTGTGCGTATGCTGACGGTACACTGACCGCAGAACAAACCATAATCGTGGCATACTGGAGAGGACGCAGTTTGCTGGACTTGAACTTGCCACCCGGAGCCATGGCTGCTGTCGGTAAGTACACGAGACGGTGGTTGATTTTTGAATGTCTGACACGAAACACTCACAAACCGCCCGTTAAACGAAACACACAGGTTTGTCGTGGGAAGAAGCGAACGCCAGGGTTCCCGCAGATATCGCAGTCGCCTGTCACAACAGCGAGGACGGTGTCACCATCTCCGGACCTCCAGACTCTATAGCTAAATTCGTGGCCAAACTAAAATCCGAAGGAGTGTTTGCGCGGGAAGTGAACAGCTCCGGGGTGGCTTTCCATTCGTGGTACATAGCTGCTGCCGGGCCAGTGTTCAAGGAAAAAGTCGCGGGAGTACGTGTCTCGTTTGTTATCGAAATGAAAACTGTACAAAAAAAAAATTAACTTTAACTTAAACATCTCGATTACAGATCATATCCGACCCGAAACCGAGATCTACCAGATGGATAAGTACGTCCATTCCGGAATCCAAGTGGAACGAACCGTTGGCGCAGTTTTCATCCGTAGCTTACCACGTCAACAACTTGGTGTCTCCCGTTTTGTTCAACGTGAGTTATGCGCTGAATACAGAATGTATTTGCATTTTTTTTTTTTTTTTGTATTGATTTTTTCTTATAATTCGATGGGGGTTTTTTTATAGAGCGCGTTAAAACACGTGCCCGACAACTCGGTTGTAATCGAAATCGCACCGCACGCACTTCTCCAGGCTATTTTGAAGCCCAGCGTTGGCTCGAACTGCACCCACGTGGGTTTGGTGCGAAGAAACCAATCGTCCGTGTCGAACTTGTTGTCCAGCATAGGCAGACTCTTCAACGCCGGACTACAACCGAAATTGGAAAACCTTTACCCCGCAATAGACTACCCGGTGTCCAGGGGCACTCCGTCTCTCCAACCGCTGGTCGAATGGGACCACTCCAACGACTGGCACGTGTGCAATTTCATCGAAACCGAAACTTCCGCTTCCGGAGAAGTCATACTGGACATTGACGTGGAAAAAGATTCGTACAGTTACTTGAAAGGAACGTTCATCGATGGCGTCCAAGTCCTTCCGTACGCATCGTACCTGGTGAGTTTGAAAAACACAAATACACACCAAAAAAACCAGTAGCATCTCTGCTCGGCATCGAAGCTAAAATTCGACGACAATATGACCGTTTGTTTTTTTCGGCAGACATTCGTTTGGAACGCTTTAGCCAAGTTACAGCTCAGCTCGATCGACAAACTCCCGGTGGTGTTTGAAAACGTTCAATTCTTCAAAGCCACACCCATTCCGGCAAACGGTTAGATAGAGTTTATTATTATTTTGCAAAAGCCCTCGGAGTCACCCCTCTAATCGGTATACTTATTTTGATATTTTTCGAGCAGGACAACTCACGTTCAAAATCAACATTCTGGAAGGAACCGGCGAGTTCGAAGTCCGGCAATCCGATTCAGTTGTCGTTTCCGGTTTCGTTAAGATACCGACGACCGACGAACAGCTTCAACTCTCCGAAGTGAAATCCTACGATGCAGATCAATTGTCGTCCGCCGACATTTACAAAGACCTTTCTTTTAAGGGATACAAGTACGGCAAAAGTTTCCAAGGATTAAACACAGCTAGCAACAACGGTATGGAGCATTTTGTGTTGTGATTTTTAGTTGTTTTTGTGTTGTCTGTGAAAGGACATTACAAATTTAACGACTGTGTATAATGATTCTTATAGGAAACAGCGGTAGTATAGCTTTCGACGGAAAATGGGCTCCGTTCCTAGAATCGTTGTTCCAGTTGCACCTGTTAAATCTCGACACGAGAGATTTCTACGCTATCAAATACATATACAAACTGACCATCAACCCGGAAAAACAATATCAAGCCGTAACGGCTAAAGGTAATAATTGTTATGAATACAGCCAATACGAGAAAATATGCACTTTATGTGGTGATAACTGACAATGGTTTTCTATACAGGAGCATCTTTCAGCGTTTACCAAAATATCGGTATCATAAAAACTGCAGGAATCGAGATTAGAGACATCAGATCAACATTGGTGCCAGTGCGCAAAGAATTGCAACAAGACTTTGATTTAGAATCGTATGCATTCGTACCGTTTGTATCCGAAGAGGTAGGTTATATGCGTGTATTGGTATTAAATTTGTATATTTAAAAATATTATGTTTTTCTTGTATTTACACAATAAAAACCTCTTATTTGCGCTTATTCTAAACGGTCGCACTATTTACTTGCTTTAGGCAATCAGTGAACCACTTAATTTGATCGTACAAATCGTACTGGACAATGCCAATGGACCGTTAGCCGTCGCCGAAGCAGTGACAGTTCAGCACGAGCTTTTAATCTTGCAAGTTTTGAACTTAATTGGATCTAGATCTTCAGCGCCGGTAAGACTATATTATATTTTTATACATTTACTACTCTAATAAACGGGTTTTTAAATGTTGTGTTATGGATATATATATCAGGTCAGCTACAGTGTGTACGCCAAGGACACCAGCAGTTACAAACCCAATGAGTCAGTATCGTACGTTGAAAAAGATGTCACTTCCAGTGCCGTCAATGAGCCTGCAAACTTTGTACTAGCTTATGGCGCTATTGGCAATCAGAATGCGTTTAACAACATATTGGCTGGCGTTAAGGATGGCGGTTTCTTACTCACGGTCGAACATGGTTTTGATTCAAAATTCAGACAGATCGGATTAGATGTCGTGGCCCAATACTCGGATGGTCACAACACGTTTGTACTATTGAAAAAGGTAAACAAAAGCTCTTGAAACATAACTCATTCAACGAATTCGAGAATTTTTAAATATATGTTTAATTTGTTTTTTTTTTATGAAGAACTCGGCTTCATCAAACCCGATCGTCTTACCAATTGGATCTTCATTTTCTTGGGTAGAATCTTTGAAATTGAATCTGAAAAACCCCTCCAGCAGCAATAAAGACGTCTTGTTAGTGAGTCAAAATTTGGACTTTGGTGCGATCGAGTTGGCAAAGAGTTTAAGACAAGAGCCTAATGGTCAATATGTCAGGTAAGAGTGTTAGCTTATTCTTAAATGTTTAACGGTACTATCGGTGGTGTTTCTGTTGTTAGATGTGTGTCGATTAAGGATAACAAAGCTCCGGCTTTCTCTCTGTCGGCTCCATTATATCAAGAACAAATAAAGAAAGGATTGGCCATTAATGTGTTCAAAAACGGAACGTGGGGTACATTAGTGTTCGTTCCCTTTAAACCAACCAAAGTCCAAGTCGAACATGCATTCATCAATACGTCGAAAGTAGGCGACATCAGTAGCTTGCAGTATATCGAAGGAAAACTGTCTAACTTCAAGTACATCAGTTTCTCCATCATCGTTATGTACATTCAACTTATGAAAATTAATTTTATTCCACAGCGCCAAGGAATATCCAGACTACAAATTGTGTTACCCATACTATGTTCCACTCAATGGATTGGATGTGAAATTCGCCAACGGAGGTTTGCCGTACAACGGCCTAGCTGGAGATATAGCTCAGCAGGTAACAAGACTTGATAAGTAATAAAATGGTCCGTATGGAATCTCTTAACAATTATACCGATGTCATTTTAGGGAAGTTATCTCGGTATGGAATTTTCTGGACGCGATGCCAGCGGCAAAAGAGTGATTGGTTTGGTGCCGGGTGGTGCTTTAGCCACATCGGTGTTGGTACACAAAGACCTCGTTTGGCAAATACCCGACGAATGGACCCTGGAAGAGGCTTCCTCGGTGCCGAGAGTTTACAGTCTGGTAATTTTCGCTGTTATTGATTTATGTTTTCCCGGGTTTTTTTTTTATCGCAATGTCTATTGTCGGATACAGGCCTACTATGCGTTAGTGGTAAGAGGAAATATACAGTCTGGCGAATCAATGTACGTGCACGCAGGAGCCAGTGGAATCAGCACCGCTGCCATAGCCGTCGCTCTGGAATTAGGAGTCACCCCTTACGTCGGAGTGTTTAACCGGGAACAGAAACAATTCCTGAAATCACGATTCCCCCAAGTAAAAATCAAAACTCTTTTGCCTTTTTATTTTTATACACGTTAAAAATTGTGTCCGTTGCAGTTGAACGACGACAGCTTTGCCAACTTGGCCGACAACGGAGGATTCGAACAGCACCTTCTGGAACAGACGCAAGGACGGGGAGTGGATCTGATTTTCGACACGTACACGGTTATCAACAAGCGTCAAGAGTTTGTAAACGCTTTGGCCGAGTACGGCCGGCTAGTCGAGTTTGAGGTGGTCGTACCCGTTTCCGATTCGCTGGGAGTGTCCGGCAATTTGAAAAGCATATCGTTCAACAAAATTTCCCTCGGCTCCATCCATTTCTCGCCGTCTGAAATCAAGTACATACAACGTTTGGTCGACCAGGGCATCAAGAACAAAAACGTACAGCCTCTGTCCACCACCGTCTTCTCGGTGAACAACGTGGAAGAAGCGTTCAAATTCACTGTGTGCGGCAGCTACTTAGGACGGGTCGTTGTCCAAATCAGGGACGAAGAAGATAAGAAAACTACAGTGCCGACCAAACAGCTAGTCTCGGCGTTACCCAAATCGTTCTTTTCGCCAGAAAAATCATTTATTATCAGCGGTAAATCGATCAAATAATACACATAGTAACAAACATATTTTATACTTAATGTTGAAAACAAACTAATGCTAGCTGTATTTACATTTAACGTGTGTTAGGCGACGACGACAGTCTAAGTTTAGAACTTATTCAATACTTGGCGTCCAGGGGGGCCCGCAAGTTCGTTTTGGTGTCCAAAAGCAAATCGTCATCCGGTTTCAAAAACTTAGTACTCAGACGTTTGAAGAGCAAGAACGTGACGGTCGCGACAACCGTAGCAGACCCTTCGATTGTGAAAGGCGCCGAAGATGTATTCAGAGAAGCGTTAGCACTAGGGCCGGTCGGTGGAATTTATCAAATCAGCAATGTAAGAGTGATCCGAGTAGTAGAACATTTTAAAATATACATTTTTTTTTTCAAAAGTTAACCGTGCTTTTTATTTTTACCATTATTGATATTACAGGGCCCGACTAGTGGCTTATTACAATCTCTGAACGAAAACGATTTCGTTTCGGCCAACAACAGCGTGACCGAAGCTACCGCCAATTTCGACACTCTGAGCAGGAAGTTATGTCCCCAGTTGGAGTATTTCGTCGTCTTGGCTCCAAGTATTGCTTCTCGAGGAGCTATTTCCAAATCGAATTACGTCTATGCCAATGCGAACCTCGCCAAAATCGCCGAAATCCGAAAGATTTCCGGATACCCAGCGGTAAGTGTGATAATATAATTCGAAACGTGTAGTTCCTATCTTCTTCTTCTTCTTCACCCTCGCCTTACGCTCCCAACTACATGGGATCAGCCACTCTAGTCCTACACCCCCATAGAGCTAAATCTTCTACATCTCGTTTAATCACCCCAGCTATGCTCACATGACTCTCTACTCCGTCTATACATCTTTTCTTCGGCCTTCCTCTTCCTCTCGTTCCCTCTACATTCAACTTTATAACAACTCTCATTGCCTCTGCCTCATCTCCCGTCATAACATGACCGTACCGTCTCAACCAGTTCTCTCTCATTTTCCCTACAATTGATGCAGCTCCTAGACTCCTATGTATTCATTTCTTATTATCTCTATTTTATTTCCTATGACATGTTATATTATTATCCAACGCCAGGTTGTCGTGGAATACGGTGCTGTAGATAGCTGCCCCGAATCCTTCAACAGTCCAGCATTCGCCGTTCAACCAGTAACGTCAGCGCTCAGCATTCTGGACAGCGTTACCAGACAAAGCCAATATTCTGTAGTGTCATCGACAAAATTCAGCGGCCAAAACGACGAAGCTTCAGACGCCGCATCTCCCGTTCTTCTAGCAATCGCTAAGCTTTTCGGTAATTTCATTTGTCTATAAATGTCCTCAATTTTTTTTTACACCGAACACTAGTAATTACCTGTGATATTTTTTTTCTCCTCATAGGATACAACGCCGTTTCTGACGTAGAGCAAACATTTACACTCGCTCAACTTGGGTTCGACACCCTTTTGGGACCACGAATTCAAGAAACAATTCAACAACAGACCAACTTGTTTATCAACATTGAAGAGTTAAGACTTTTGTCATTCCCGGTTCTTCGAGCTAAAATTAATGCTTACCTAGCTTAAAAAATACATATTGTGTTAGTACGATAGTTTATTTAATCGAATGTTATAAAATACCGTCATGTGTTTTTAGAAATTCAAGTAAATTGTTTAAAACTAAAAATGTATTATATATATAATATATTTATATATATTTCTGACGTTAGGAGCAAATAAAATTTAGTATATAAATAATTAATTGTCATGATTATTTTCCGAAGTAAAGTGTTGTTAAATAAAGTATACACGTTCAGAATGTATATCATATTTAAGTTTTTACTTGGTCTCTAATAAAATATTACCTGGACCGGCGCTAGGCAATTTTTCAATCTAGTAAAACTTCAATTTAGCCACCTTTTCAATTATTAATTTATAAAAATGTTAAATTTGTAAAAAAAAAAATATACCTATATTGCTTATGCCTCGTGCCGGCCCTGAATATTATCTTTACACTATTGAACTACCTACTATAATATTGATCACAACGTTTGTCAAACTTAATACTGATGTAAGTATTGTCTATGATTTCATATGACGCAGTGTTTATATTTTAACGTGATTAACATAATTTTAGTCTAAGTAACCATACAAAACCATCATAATATTATTCTCTTTTATCGTGTCCGGTGCTGGACTTTATTGATATTTATTATAGATAAAATAAATTAAATATACATTAAAAAAAAATTAGTAAAATATAAACAGTGTTTAAAACATAATAAAGAATTTTAAATATTTTGCTCGAGCCAATGGGTAGCTGCTGATATTATAGCAGTTACATTGTCAAGCGCAATGATAGGTCTGTAGGTGTTCATCGGATCGGCACTCGCCGCATTCACCTGTGTCCGGTCCTTCTGTTATCCCCATTTTACTGTGTTAACTCTTGTCTTGGCTACTGCAGCTTTTAGCCTATTTATCGTTTTCCATGTGGGCCATGGTAGGTTTCGGCCTGACAGGTGTTTCAGCTTGCAGCTCTTCTCTCCATTTATGTAGTCGGAGCTGGTTAGGGGTATCCTGGATTTGGGGTGCCAATGGTCTATAGTTTGTTTTGTTTTTTCAATGCACGTGGCCACATATCTCCGTACTGCTGGTGGAGCTATCGTCGCTAATGAATAGATATATTTTAATGGCATAGCTTCGAGGCATCCAGTTATCAACCTACAAGTTTCATTTAGTGCCGTATCGACGTGTTTAGTATGTTTTAATTGGTTCCATAATGAGCAAGCGCATTCGCCAGTGGAGAAACAAAGTGCTATCCCAGTAGTTCGGATATTATTATTCATTATTACATTTTTTTATAGTATTATATTAACAATGTATTATATTAAAATATAATTTAAATAAAAAATGTATTAATTACTAAAGGTTTACATTCGTAGAACAGGACTTTTAAATTCGATGAAAATTAGCACATTTGCAATTTTACATTTTATAATAGTTTGTATAATGTATAGCTAGAAATAAATAATAATAATTTTGATATAATTTGTCACATATTGCAAGCACTCGTTAAATGTATAACGAAAAAAAACGTGTACACGGTGCATTCACCGTATAACACTATCTATATTCTGGATTCATTTAACATGGCGTTTTCTTAGTATATATAATCATTGAGTTATATACACACATACATTTTAAAGTAAAATTTAAAAAGCACATCAGTTTCAGATGTAGAGAACTAGAACTAGCTATTGTTAAAGTTATATAATCAAAATATTCTAAATCCTAAATAGATACAAACAAAATTTCTTTTCCAACCAAGAAAAATAGTATTTTACGTTTTTTTTTTGTACTTTGAATTCATATTTTTTCTACCAAATAATAAGTACAATCGATAAAAATATTTTATTTGCAAGAATATATTCGTACAATATGTTGTTGTTAAACACAATGAATTTAGTTTTAGACCAATTACTTGTCGGTTATCATCAGAAAAGTCATTAAACGTTAATAAATCTCTATTTACAGTACTGTTAGTGTAGGATGTAAGTAGGTACTATGAAACTACCGTTTTTGAATAATGCTCACGAAACCCTCTATTTTTTTTTTTTTTTTTACTAAATAAAGTTTAAGTACAAAAGACAAAATATGAGAGCAAAAAAGATAATCAATCCGGACTTATTTATTGTTTTGACCTTAAAAGTTACAACTAATAACAGGCACTAATAATTGACGTAACTTTAATACAATATTCATGGGCCCTTTCCACTATAGCAAAAAAATTAACACCTATTGAATTGGGGTAAGTGGACATAATGGAAAAAACCATAAGTTAGATGCTTAAAATACGATTGAAAGTTAAACATCCCACTCATAACAGTTATGAGTGGGATGTTTAACATATTGATTAATGTCGAAGCGCATAACAATTAAAAATATATATGTAAAGTCATTACATTTAATGTAATATAAATCTAATACTTTGAATTTGTTTTTTATCTTATACGGTAATATGAAAACATTCTCATTTTTTTGACCTAGATAAGCTTCGCTTTGCACTGTACCCTATTTGCAGGTATTGACGAAAAAAGAAAGCAAGCTGTACACATACAAGGAAATTCAGCCGGTAGCAAAAAGTTGTCAACAACAATGAATTTTTTTTTTACGTTTTACGGTAATATGAAAACATTTTCATTTTTTTGACCTAGATAAGCTTCGCTTTGCAGTGTAACCTATTTGCAAGTATTGATGAAAAAAGAAAGCAAGCTGTACACACACACAAGGAAGTTCAGCCGCTAGCAGCAAAAGTTGTCAACAACAATGAATTTTGCTAAGTCGTAAGCCGAATTGAATTTTGTAATTTTTATCGCCAAAACAATATTATAGCAGCACTAATTGTTGGATAAAATCTATTGATAAATCAACACTATAATGGTTCGATAATTATTATGTCAAGGGAACGAAAATGTATTGGTGTTTTAAAATATTTTCAAAACGCAAAATGTATGTAATAATCAGTCATATTTCCAAATTAGTTCATCTAAAAGTTTGAGAGTATGTATTTTTGGTAAAATTTTGGTTTCTAAACCCACGATATTTTTTTAGCCGCTAAACCAATTTCTCCGTGTAGCAAGTCCATTGATAAGAAGTTTTACCTAAAAAATATTTAACTGGACAAAACAATTAAAAAGTTCACCCATAATTTTGTTTACTAAGGCTGACCTAGTTGACAAAAATAACTATAGTATTCGTATCCACTAAAATGTAGTGCCTCTAAGATAAATGTTTAAACAAAAATGAGGATTTAGGTCGCTGTTGATTTTCAATATTATTCTACAGGCTATGCTATGGTTTTATGAATCGTAAACAGTATCAAGTCAAACAAAAAATCGAACACGAAAACATATTTAAACTAATGCCTGTATATTTTATCGACGGCATAGCGCACAAATGTCACATGTTATGAGTGTATAGCGAATATTTATCCTGCTAAAGGCCGGATTCGTTTGTTGCGAGCTTAAGTTTACAAAAAATTATGCGAATCGTTCAAAATTGCAAAAACATCAATAACATTGTGACACAAATACTTATCATTGATAGCTACAATATTGCTTTGTGTTTTGCGTTGATGAATAAAACGAAAAATAATAAAACATTGGAAAACAAACCTAACCTAATTCAATACAAAGTTGCCCGCAATGTTTTTGCTATACCCGATCCGCGATAAATCTATGTAGGTTAAACAAAAAACGTTTTCTTTAAACAAATAAGATCTAAGGAAACAAAACATGTAGTTTTTAGTATTTAAGCAAGTTAAAACAGGAAGAAAAAAATAATACCTACTAGTGTACAACTTTCTTCTACACCCAAACGACAGTCTAGTTTATATATTCGTACTATTCAAAATGCGGGTTTTATACGTTGTAATGTTGCTCTTAGCAATGTTAACAAAGTACTCAGGTATTTATGTATAATAATCATTTTTCAAGTTTTGTACAAATATTAACCACCAAAACGTTAATAATTTCATTACTCACCACTAACCATTTTTTTTTTCAGAGGCACCCTCACCGGATGACGATGGTGAGTTATTTTTAACGTTATTTTTATTATAATGATTTTATTTAGGTGAATTTTTATGATCATTTTCTTTATTTAACATATGTTGTGTGGTGTTAAAAATGATGAGAATTGGCTTCATACCAACAAAACTTTGTTTTAATTGTCCAAAGAATATGTCAGGGGTACCTACTGAAATGTAATCGTGTTTTTAAATATTTTTAATACGCAAATATATAATAGTCAGAGTCATATTCCCAACTTAGTTTATCAAAAAGTTAAGGAGTATTCCATTTAGTTTCTTTCATTCGCAAACGATAACCATTGGAAAAATATTAACCACAAAAATATAACAATTTATTATTACTTATCACTATCCTATTGTTTTTTAGATAAAGCTGAGGCTGACAGATTAGGTGAGTTATTTGCATTGTTTAACACTAAAATCTAACCATACAAATCATTCCAAAGCATACACTCGAGTAATTCAAAAGAATATTATTTTTAAATGAACTATCAACAAGTCACACATCTTTTAAAACTAAATAAATTTGTATAGCATTTATAATATACATAATTAATGCCTCATCATTCAGTATATGTGTTATATTAAATTTAGTGTTAAATTACACTTTTGACGAAATTATCATCACTGCCTTTCAATTATTTTTACTGAATACAAAATATTTAGTTTACACACAGTACACTATCATATTATGTATAAGCTATATGTATATGTAGTCTAAATATAATTATAATATATACAAAATATACAGTTTATCATTACCAACAAAACGAGAGTGAATAACATACTACAAATGTACACAGTACACTATAATAATATGTTTAAACTATATGCATGTACGTATAATAAAAGGAACGTAAATATATATAAATATATATATTTTTTTTTTTAATATTACAGCAACGTCGAACCCAAGATACAATCTGCCAAACCCGTACCAGGTGGCAGGTAAGACTTTGTTATTAAACTTAGTGTTAAATTTTCACTGGTCAATAACCAATTTTGAGTCATTAGATACTAATTAAATTATTAGAGTTTAAATAAAATCATTTTTAGAGTTTTGTACCACTTACATATTGACCACCGAAATATGAACATTTATAATTTTATACTTACCACTACCAATTTTTTTACAGCGGCCAATTGGGCTGGGCAAAGTGAGTTTTTTTCAATGTTTTACTAAAAATAAAAGCATACAATTTTTTTCAAAGCATACATTTCTTAAACATAAATAAATGTTTATAGCATTTATAATATGCCTCATCCTGCAGAATTTCATGACCTACCTGGTTTTTTAAAATACTTACTAAAAAAAATAGCCTATGTAAAGCCGTTTTGATTTTTTATAAAACTTAATATAATTTTTTTTAGCCAAAAGTTATATTAAAGGGGGGGGGGGTTAAATATTAAAACTTAGACGGTAACGTACACATTTGAATCGTTTTGCGTTCCATTAAATTTAGAGCTAAATTAAGCTTTTGTCTAAATTATCTTTACTACTTAACAAAACGAGAGTTAATAACTTACTACAAATGTACACAATACACTCTAATATTATGTATAAAATAATGTATTCAAGACGAATAAAAGGAACCTATATATTTATATACAGATAGATTGATACGTATTTATTTTAAATATTACAGCACCTAAACCAAAATCTATATTTAGTAAACTACCACTACCACCACCGCCCAAGACGTCATAAGCGGCAGGTTAGACTATTTTATTATACTTAGAGTTAAGTTTTATATTTGATTAAATTAGGTTCACTATTTAACTTTCAGTTATTTTTACTGAATATAAAATATACAGTTTATCATAACCAACAAAACGAGAGTTAATAACATACTACAAATGTACACAGTACACTATAATATTATGTTTAAACTATATGTATGTACGTATAATAAAAGGAACGTAAATATATAAATATTTTTTTATTTAAAATATTACAGCAGCGGTGAACCCAAGATACGGACTACCACACCCAAACCATGTGGCAGGTTAGACTATGTTATTAAACTTAGAGTTACATTTGGTTAATAACCTACTACAAATGTACACAGCACACTATCACATTATGTACAAATTATAAGTGAGTAAAACAGGAGGAATCTTAATAAAATAATAATTTTTTTTTTTAAACATTTCAGGAAAGTCATCATATCCTATAAGCGCCAGCAACACCGTTCAATCGCCAAACGGCTAGTCTATGTTCATCCATTCATTCAATAAAAATTATATAAAGCATAATCTTAACTATTTTTAAAATAGCACTTCACGTTGTTAATGTTCTCACCACGTACAAAAAAAAAATCACAATATGTGTACATTTTTATTATAATAAAAAAACTAAAAACTTGCTGCAAATAATTAATAAATCATTCAACTATAATTAAATCAAGAGTGTTTTTTTTAATAACATAATACCCTAACCTAACCTTATTGCAAAATTAAAATTATTAATTAAAAGGATTAAACGAATATTTGAGCTTAAGAGGCCGTCATACGCCCTTTGAAAATAACCGTAAAGACGTTTTTATGGAAAAGCGTGTAGGTCAAAGCGAAATGGTCATAGAAAAAAAATGATACTGTTAAAAAGAGGACAACTTTAACTAGTTTTTCTCGTCGGGTTTTTTAGAAAACATTTTCTTGTACTTAAAAATTAAGGTTTTCTGTTTTTTTCCATAAATTAGATAGACAAATCTAAAAAATTAGAATCTGAAGTCAATCTTTTTTTACTATGGGAAACCCACAAAAAAAAGAAAAAAATCACACTCACATAGTATTAAATTTTCAGGTTGTTATGTTTAAATAAACAGGCAACAGGTATCTAAAATATATTTTAATAATTGTTTATTACGAATATAATATTGTCTTTTGGTAACAACAGCGACGAACTATTAGGAAAGAAAGACCGTCTATTCCTCATCGAATCTATATTGTAGTTTTAGTATTATTAAAATTTTCCGTTAGCGACATTTTAAGGTAATATATGGTATTTAGAACCGTTTTATGTAAATCGAATAATGTAGTAAAGGAAGGCTAATGTTTTCTGGCATTGTGTCTACGTTGGACATCATGAGATGATCTCAGATTTGTATCTCGGACGACATGTACAGCATACCTAATAATAATTTAGAGCGAATTAGGCATTCTTAGGAATTAGGTTTTTCCTTTTGAAAACAATTTTTGTGTTTGTTATTTTACAAAATTATAAAACTCCTAAATATTTACCTTTCTTTGTGTTTTCCAGGGCTTTATCAACCATCGATTCATAAAGAATAATTTGTCGAACATTATGACCGGTCGACATCCAGTTTTGGATAATTCCACTTCATTATCATGTAGCTTAACGGGGCATGAACGCCTAACGCTGCCATTATTAAATGGTTTATTGACGAATTCGCTATCCGAGTGTCGAACCAGCGACAGTGAGCGCTAAACCACTCGGCCACTTCTTCTCCTCTAAAAATTCCTCTAATAATAATAATTGTTTAAATTATTATCATAAGACCATGTATACACGTATAAACCATGAGAATTGTTAAAAGTGAGGGTTTTGCATTATTTCGCACATCAGCGCATGTGTTTCAAAAGCGATACCTAGTGTAAAAGTAAACAAAAATTCCAAAAAATACTTTTTTTTAGTATTGAACTCTTACCTAGGCGTAGAAAAAACAATTTATTTACTTGAGAAAAACGCTTGTGTGATTCGATATAGCTACGCGTTTCCATTTCCACTGTTTACATAAATGAAAATATTATAGTAATCGTTTGTACAAAATGGTTTTACTCGTTCAAAAGACCGTAAACATTATTTAATAATGCAAATAATTAATAAATCATTCAACTATAAATAAATAAGGAGTATTTTTTTTAATGGTATAACCCAACCTAACCTTATTGCAAAATTAAAATTATTAATTAAAGGGATTAAACGAATATTTGAAATTAAGAGGCCGTCATACGCCCTTTGAAAATAATCGTTAAGACGTTTTTATGGAAAAGCGTGTAGGTCAAAGCGAAATGGTCATAGGAAAAAAAAATGATACTGTTAAAAAGAGGACAACTTTAACTAGTTTCTCTCGTCGGATTTTTAAGAATACATTTTCTTGTACTTAAAAACATAGTACATAGTTGTAGTACAACATTAGACAATAATCAAATTTGTATCTTTTTCAGTATTGGCTCGAGTTCTGTCAACTCATACAACTTAAATGGCGACGTACTTATTAAATTGGCTTTTTAATTTAATAATAATATACGAGTAGGTACTGAACATTTTGACTGGTCAATAACCAGTTTTAAATATATATTTTTGTTATTTAAGTTTAAAATTTTGGCCGGGAAGCGGTTGAGAAAAGCGTGCAGATAAGAATACAACTCTACTTTTCACCCTTCCTCCCGTCCTAAATTTTAAATATTTTTTAGAAAAGTCGAATAAACAGAAAATTGTTTTTTTTTTTCCACATAATTATTTCTTTTTTATTACTATGGTCGTTTTTCAATTTTTCAATGTGTTTTAATGGAGAACCAAATTTGAAATTTACATATTTTATGTAAAATCATCTCAGCTTTTTGAGAAAAAAATTAGACAAATCATTTTTTTTATGTATAGTAAAGTAAGACTTTGACAGCTAGGTCATTAGCCATATTAGACAAATTCTCACACATTTGAGCAACGCGAAAAAAGCACCTATTTTTATTTTAAACTCGATTTCAATAACTTTGTGTTACTCGAAGAAAGTAAATCAATAATTTTTTTCAAAAAACTGAGATTATTTTACATAAGAAACAAAATTTTCATTTACGTTCGTTTATAATTTGGGTTTTTAAACCACATACACTTTGACTTTTTTTACTATAAGCTAAAAATCAAACTTTTTTTTACAAATAAGGTTTTATAGTTTTGAACATTTGAATCTCGTTTTGTATTATACATTTTGTCGTTGTTGTTTTTTATGGTTTCTCTACAACTGGAAGGAAACATTGTGTGTGTTTAATTAAAATATTTTCATCCTTAAAAAAATATTGTACTAATTATTATTATTTTATTTAAAAATAATAAATTAATATTATTGTAACTTTATATACCAATTTCATAGTTTAGTTTCAATGTTTCGTTTTAGTACATTTCAATTTTAATCTTGTAAACGAGCTATTAAAAAAAAAAATGATAGTGATTAAAATTCGGAATGTCGGAATATCGGAAACATAAAAATACAAATTAATTAACTTTTTTTACATATACAATATAGATAAACAGATAATAATAGAACAAACACACACACACACACACACACACACATATATATATATATATATGTATACACAGAATAGTTTTAAATGAGCTGAAAGTTCAAAATTATTCAAAATACTGAATAGAATTATTGAACCTTATGTTTTAGATAAATATAACACACTGACCTTGGAATATTTCTTACCCAACATAACAATAATATACCTATTATGAATACTTCATTGATAATAAGTATTATATCCTATAACAGTTGATTTATTATGTGTCTACATAGGCATCATAATTCGACAGGAAATCAATTAGCAATCAAATATAATTGGTTCAATAATATTTAACGATTATTGTGAACTAAATAAATTATAAATGATTTATTTTCAAAACCGAAAATCAATACGATACACTTATAACAATTTCCCCCCAAACTTGATCAATAACATTATGGAAAAAGTGATGTTTATAAATAACCGGTAAAATTTAGTGGTCGTTTTGTATTATTTAATATAAAATGAAAAAACATTTAACATCGGTTAAATGTTTAAAAAAATATATCACTTAATAAATAATATTTGCATCTTGTGTAGCTGATCATTCGTTACAGCTGACCATTGACCTCTGTCACATGCTGTAAGTATTTATATAATAAATCAATTGAAAAAAGCATACACACATACACACTGAACGGCGGCGATGCGTTGTGTAATGTGAAAATTCAATGACAAAAAAAAAATTGGCCAATTTTATCGTGTAATCGCATAACGCGCCATTTGGGTATGAAACGTTTACGTAAGTGGAAAAAAAGGCAAGTGGCGTTTCATAACGAGCCTTTGACTTTACTTAAATACCACAGGGCTGACATGCCAGAGTGTCATTCGTCCACTGCGATTCGAGATTTTGGTATTGAACCGCGACCCTGTACTCATCTCAACGCTAGTTTCTTTCTTGTGTTTTTTTGTTTCTTTTGTTTTATCGTCAGACTCCGAGTGCTGCCCCGACTCCCCGATTGTCGCTGTCACTTCTACTTGAACAATGGCACCGAACGCAAACGAATCGGGCGTCAAGGTGGACGTCAACTCCGAGGAGTTTGGCTTCCAGCCCGAAGACATTGTCATTTCCGGTATATCCGGAAGGTTGCCCGAGTGCGACAGCATCGACGAGTTCCGGAGCAAGCTGTACGCCGGCGAAGACTTGGTCACCGGAGACCCGAGGAGATGGCCCACCGGTAAGTACCGGAATATAATATTATAGATTCTATTATAACGATAACGTTCATATTACCGTTTACCTTAGGCTTGTACGGTGCCATAATGAGGACTGGCAAACTCAAGGACATCACGCAATTCGACGCTGAATTTTTCGGATATCCTCCCACGTTGGCCGAACGTACCGACCCGCAGCAGAGGATGTTACTGGAAGTCGTCTACGAGACCATAATCGATGCAGGTAATACACACGTCTAAACTCGAATCGTTTATTATTTATGAAAACGTGATAAGTCATAATTTTGTCGAAAATTACGCTTTTCTATAATGTCCTTTGTGACTATGGATCGTTTACTTTTGAAAGGAGTCGAATTCGTATGATAGTTCATTTTATTAGGGCGATACAAACAATTAGTTAAATTCAGTTAAACCGTGAAGTCAGGAGTTTTGTATAGGCAATATTTAAGAAAAAAAGAGGTTTTAATACATTTCAACCATGTCGATTAATTTACCGAGCTATTTATGTAAGTTCCAAGGTGTTATTTTTAATTAAAATAATTTTTTCTACGAGTAAAAACTATTTTTGTTTATTTTAGACCGAAAAGTAAGACAAAATGTTGACTATATAGGATGGTTCAATTTCAAATCCGTAAAATATTCAAATTTCTTTGGCTACCTTACAATGTTATGTAGGAAGCCGATTTTCATTTTAAAATTCTTGTAATTAACTATATTAAATTTGCAATTTTTTCAATATTAAAACTTCTTCAGTTTAAGTTTAAAACTTCTTTAAAAAAATGTATATATTTATCTGAACATCTTTATTTAAAAAACTATTATTTGATCAGTTTTATGATCAAATTGCTATTCCAACAACTTTTTAAATAAAACTTGTACTAAAAACTTTCAAAAATAATTGTTAAAATGAAGCTATATAAACAAATTCAATAATCGTTTCAAGCACTAGCTCAAACGAAAATAAATTAACTACACAAAGTAACATAACGTATTCAAAGAATAATTTAGGTGTTTATGACTATGATAGTGGTTAATTGATAAAAACGTCAATCAGAGTAGGAAATAAATTTAAAAGAAACGAATCGCTACCATTGCAAGGATGTATATTTGTATACGAACAAAATGAGTCACATCGATTTATAATGGTAATTTTAATTACCGGTTAAAATATTAAAATATTTTATAGTTAAATTGATTATATCAGTATAAATAATTAGTAATTTATAGTTAAACATTATTCATTTAAAAATTTGAAAAACATTTTGTAACAATTTGATATTTTTGTTTGCGGACTGCCTATACAATACTCCTTAGTAACTGTAAAATAAGCTTCAATTTAACCGGTTTATTCAGTATCCGGTTTATCAATAATCACCGCGTTTAGCTGTGAAGCTAAAAGGGTATAATTAGTTTTAAATCTGTCATTTCAGTAAGACGTACTTTAAAATTATTAAATCACAGAACATTAAAAAAAAAAAATCTATAAACTTTTATCTATTTTAATAGATAACAAAAATGACTTGAAAAATAATAACTAGTACACGAGTATTTTTTTATTATTATTAATGATGCCCTTTATCAAAAGGTCGAACTCATGTTAGAATTTTTTTATTACTCGTAATCATTGCGTAACTAAAATTTAACTAAAAGTTGTTATAAGAGACATGCTGAAAACTAGAAAAGGTCTAGGAGCCAAGATATTTAGGGAGCATAACACATTTTTTTGGGTTTCTTTTTTATTAATATTAAATTTGTTTTAAAAAATTATTACTCATATTAATATAATACCATTTTATAATCTATAAAGGATTTTACTATCTCAATCGTTTGCCATAGTAGAAAAAAAGGTGATTTCGTGGAAAGAATTCATCCCCTATAAGCAAGCCGAGCATATGAACATACACACATATTAGCTCGCTGTTTAAAATTGCTAGACCATCGTCGTCGGTTAAAATTGACTGCAGTTAGCAAAAAAATTGAATTTATTAATTAAATTTTAATTTAAAATTCGATACGTTAGGAAATCCATACAGTTGTGCTTAACCACAACTGTTGAGTAGTACAAATTAGTACAAATAATCGTCCTAAATTCTAGATTTCAACGAGATAAAGTTTAACGAATTTTACACACTTTATTTAACCACACAAATCGTTATAATTTTTCATAGGATACCATCCAATGGCATTGAAAGGCACCCGGACAGGAGTAATCGTGTCGTTGTCGTCCAGTGAATCGGCTGACTGGTGGTCACAAGATCCGGAAAGAGTAAACGGATACGAATTCTTGGGCAACTCCAGGGCTATGTGCGCTAACCGCGTTTCGAACTACTTCGACCTTAACGGTAAAAGACGAATAATTAATTTAAGCGTTATTTCTGCTTCGGTATTGTTATTATTATTATTATTTTAATCATCAGGACCTAGTTATTCGATTGATACGGCTTCGTCCACCAGTCTGATTGCTTTGCACCAAGGGTTTAAGCTCATCCAAGACGGCGTTTGCGACAACTGTTTGGTGACCGGTGTGGATTTGGTACTCAACCCGACCGTGTCGCTTATGTTCCAAAAATTGAACATGTTGTCGCCCGGCGGCAAGTGTCGTTCTTTTGACGCCGACGGTATGTGGTTAAAAACGAACTCTGGTCAAGAATAAGGTATTAATGTATTTTTTTTATTTTGTATTTTCACAGGCGATGGCTACGTGAGATCAGAAGCCATTGTCGCTATACTGTTGCAGAAAGCCAAATCGGCCAAACGCATCTATGCCGGGCTATTGAACGTCGGTAGCAACGCTGACGGTTACAAGGACGAAGGCATAACCTTCCCGTCCCAAGAGATGCAGATATCGTTGTTCCGGCAAGTCCAACAAGAGGTCGGTGTCAACCCTTCCGATCTGGCCTACATGGAAGCCCACGGTTCAGCTACTAAGGTATAGTATATTTTTATTGCCTTCACTTAACGCCACGTCAGTATTAAATGTGCCCTATCGTGTTGCGTCTCTAAGGTGGGAGATCGTCAAGAAGTCGGCGCAATCGTCGAAGTGTTTTGCAAAGACAGAAACGCGCCACTCTTGATCGGTACACTCAAGTCGAACATGGGACACGGAGAACCGGCTTCTGCGTTGTGCGCCGTCATCAAAGTAGTAGTTGCAATGGAATGCAGACTTTTACCACCGAACTTGCATTACAAAATACCTAATCCAGATATTCCGGCCTTAATCGACGGAAGGTTAAAGGTATAAGTTTATAGCGCTTCAATGTTTACATTTTATTTACTAAACAAGTATAATGATTTTGAAAGGTTGTCACCAAAGTAACACCGTGGAATGGTGGTATAGTAGCTATCAACTCTTTCGGCGTGGGCGGCGCTAACGGACATTGCTTGATGAAGTCGTACCCGCAAAAGAAAGCTCCCGAGATATTGGCCGAAGAACTGCCCAGGCTAGTGATAGGTTCCGCCAGGAACGAGAGCGCCATGACGTTTATGTTGAACAAAGTAAAAGAACAATCGCATTGCCATATTATGTGACTAAAAAAAGAAAAAAAAAACTAAAATTTTTATATTATGTATTTTCAGATCGACTCATACCCGAGAGATAAGGAATTCTACGCCTTATTGTACGGAGTCCAAAGTGAAAATATCGTTGGACACAAATACAGAGGATACACTTTGTTTAACGGCATATACGACAGAACTCGTCAAATAGCTGTACTAAATGACACTTTGAATGATATAATTCATATGGTAGTAACCGCGTTGTAATGATTATTTGGCATTTTTTTTTCAGGAATTCAATGGTCAACAACGGCCCGTGGTTTTCGTTTTCCCCGGTGCTGGAGTTAATTGGGCAGATATTGGCAACCAACTGCAAAAATTGCACGTGTTTAGCGAGTCCATTGAACAAAGCGCCAATGTGCTCAAGAATAAAGGTTTCAACCTCTATTCGGTTCTTAAGTCTACAAGTTCTGCAGCCACTCAAGATCCGCTCGTGTCGACCGTTGCTATAACCGCCATACAAGTAATTTGTTTAATACTAGTCGACACGTATAATAGGTACGATTCACTAATTTCTTCTGTTTTATATATTTATGAATTCTAGGTCGCTCTTTTGAATGTCTTCAAGAACCTCGAAATATCTCCAGACTACATTGTAAGCCAATCGTTCGGCGAATTAGCGGCAGCTGTTGCCGAAGGTGTTTTGACAGCAAACGAAGCTGTTTTGTCGGCTTATGAAATCGGAAACGTTTTAGCACAATCCCAAAATGGTCAGTAAATACACTAACACAATAGATGAATATGTATAATTTTTTTTTTTTTAACGTTTGGACTCGTTTTGTTTTCTCAAGATGTCGCCAAGGCGTCAAAGCAAATTCAATCCGCTTTACAATCGGTAAGTAGAAAATCAGACGACACCGTCAAAAGATAAAATAAAAATTACCCAATTTTAACGGGTTTCAGGTTATTAGCACTTCAAAATCTGTTTCAAGCCGTTGGATAAGTGCATACGCAACATTAGGCAGCCAACAACTATCGGCTTCATATTTCGTAAATAAGTTGTCATCCAACGTGTCTCTCGAAGTATGTAAAGTCCGTTTAAGAAATGTATTCACCTTGCTCAACGGCATTGCAATTTTTTTTTTAGAATTTAATAGCAAATGGCCCAGTCGACGCCATTTACGTGCAATTCCTTGGTCAATCAGAAATCGAAAACAAACAAAACTCTGTGTACGTTAATCTAGTTAACGACGACAACGATACTCTGAAACAACTGCTGCTGAGTATTGGAGAGTAAGTAAATAAATAACATGGCAGGCAAGAATGTTCGATAGTAATGTTTAACATATTATATCACTAGTTTATTCAATGCTGGTCTACAACCTCAAGTTGAACATCTTTATCCGCCAGTCAAGTATCCAGTGTCAGGCGGTACTCCGATGATTCAGTCATTAGTCGAATGGGATCATTCAGTAAAATGGCACATCGTTGGCTTCAGTGGAAAGGTTTGGAAATTTTATAGGACAAAAAATGTTATACTTGAATGTGCTTTAACGATTTATACTATTAAATACCTTTATTTGTATAGCCTCCTTCTAATGCTGGAGAAATTAAATTGGATGTTGATGTTAGTACAGATGACTACAGTTTTTTGAAATCGTTTACAATTGACGACTTGCCCACATTCCCATACGCTGGATATTTGGTAAGGTTCTATTTGGAAAATTACATAACATAATCGTATGTCATTTAAACAGTGTATAATAAATCGAATTGCTTTTAGGCCCTTGTTTGGAAAGGATTAGCTCAATTATTACGAAAGGAAGCTAATGAACTTCCAGTTATTTTTAACAATGTTGAATTTTTACGTCAAACCGCAATACCAGAAGAAGGTAACAACATTTGTTTTAATGTAAAGATGAATATATTTTTTAATTATTCAGGGAAAAATTATTAAAAAGACAACGAGAAAGTCAAAATATTAAAATTATTTGTTCATTTGAGACCAAATTCCTTAGACTAAAGTAGTAAAATTCATTATTGACACTCATTTATAGGTCTAATTCAGTTTGTGCTCAATGTCTTAACTTCGGGAGAGTTCGAACTTCGGGAATCAGGTGAGATCGTCGCATCTGGTCAAGTAAGCTCCTCGAATGATGTTGACAAAGTACTTCTGGACTTGGCCTCGCCAAGAACAAAGAAAGACGAATACTTACCACTCGAATCGTCCGACGTCTACAAAGACTTACGTTTGAAGGGATACGATTACAAAGGCTCGTTCAGAGGCATTCAGCTTATAGATAACGTTGGTAAGTAAAGTAACACACATAAACGTGTAAAAATATTGATTAGAATTTCAACGTAACCTTACAACTAACGTGTGTATCTTTAATATTCCAGGATACAATGCTAAGGTTTCTTTCGATAAAAACTGGTTCGTATTTTTGGAGAGTCTTTTCCAAATTCCAGTTTTCCAATTGGATACTCGTGATTTGTACACTCCGAAATTCGTGCAAAAAGTAGTCATCGACCCGTTGAAACAACAAAATATTGCTGAGAGTTCGTCCAACGGTAGTAGCATAAACTCATTTTGACCATAGTCACAAAATATTGATGCCTAACTAACTTTCGATTCGTGTGCAGTTATTCCAGCCACGTATTACAAATACGTCGATGTCATTAAAGCCGGAAGTGTCGAGATTAGAGGCTTAAAGTTGCAACAAAAAACTATAAGGAACAAAGGCCAAAAAGATCCAAACTTGGAATTCTACACATTCCAACCATACTTTAGCGATAAGGTAATCGTTATTGTTTTTTCTACTTTCGATAAACCTACGTGCGGTTCTGTATTATATCGGATACATCTTTTATGTAGCCTTCGAGAAACGCTCTGGACGCATGTGTGCAATTAGCATTCGAAAACAGTGGCGGTGCTTTCAAATTGAAAGTCGCCGAGGTTGGTACCGGAAGAAAATTGGAAGCTCTCTACGCTAAAGCCGTCGTCGACGTCATAAACACTGAACCAATGCCAAGCGTTAGTATAATGTGCTCAAACATGAATTGACAAAAAAAAATGTCTAATCATAAATATCATAAACTATATTCGTTAGGTGGAAATTACTGTTTACGCTGACGACGTGACTGCAATTGCGGAACCACTCGAAGAAGCCGGTGTGCGGTCCGTCGAAAAGGACGTGTTTACTTCAGGAGCGATAGATTCCAACTGCCATCTCGTCATAGCTGTAGACCAACTTGGAAATCTGACACTAGTGAAAAACGCTATTGACAGCTTGAAGGCTGGTGGGTGCGTTTTGTTCGTCGAAAGCAAAAAGCCATCCGAACAGCTGATCAACGGCACCGGTTTAGAATTGGTAGCCAGTTTCCTATCGCAAGACAACAAAACATTTGTACTCTTACGAAAGGTTTGTGTCCTGTGTATTCTATATAAGTATTCGACGTTAATTATTTTCACAAATCCAATAATATATATATACATATATTCGTTTGGTTATTGTAGAAGGTTGATTTGCCGCCTCCGATCGTGGTGAACTGTACAGGAAATGACTTTGCTTGGGTCGAAACTTTCAAAGCCGCTTTCCAACAGGCTGAGAATGAAAATAAGCAAATACTTTTGGTTAGCCAAGGTGTTGAATTATCTGGAATTTTAGGTTTTGTTAATTGTGTTCGCTTAGAGCCCAATGGAAATGCATTGAGGTATTTAAAAATATTATTACACGTTTATTTTATACAGATAATTAATTTACACTAATACTTCAGATGTTTGTTCGTCGAGGATCCAAAAGCTCCTAAATTCTCTCTTACTTCTGATTTCTACCGGAAACAACTGAAAAAAGACTTACTAGTCAACGTATACCGCAATGGTGAATGGGGTAGTAACAGACATTATCTTCTGGAAGATCAGACTAATAGCACGAAAATATCAACGGAATATGCATACATTGCACCCAAGAATGTTGGTGACTTGTCTACGTTGAGTTGGGTGGAAGGTCGTCTGAAGTACTTTAAGTGAGTTAATTAATTACATATTATAACCTTTTAATTGACGGTCTAAACCAATTATTTCAACGCAGCCCTCAAGAATACCCGGGACAAGAGCTGTGTACCGTTTATTCTGCTCCGATAAACCATATGGATGTACTGTTTGCTGATGGATCATTGACTCCATTTTTCAACGCAGATACTGCTAAACAAGGAGCTTACTTAGGTAGAGAATTTGCTGGCCGAAACGCTAAAGGACAAAGAGTCTTCGGGTTGGTCTCTGGCAGTGCCCTAGCTACTCATGTAGTAGCTGACAGTTCAACATTGTGGGAAGTTCCCGACAAATGGACATTAGAACAAGCGTCGACCATACCTGTGGCATACGTTTTGGTAATATTTAATATGAGCAATGTTTCATAAAGAGTTGCCATTATTTGTTCTTGATTTGTACTTAGAAATTTGAACTACTAACACTAAAAACTAACTCTTCGTTGTTAATATGATCTTAGGCATACTATGGGCTTTTTATTCGTGGCAAACTGCAAGCAAACGAATCAGTCTTTCTTAATGCTGGAACTAATTACACAGTATTGGCAGCGTTGAACATATTACAAAACACTAATGTGGAGGTGTATGTTGCAGTAGACAACGATTCGCAAAGAAAATATATTGTAAACAACTATCCAAAGGTTTGTGTGTTAAAATTTATAAAGAATAATTGGTAATCAAGTAGTTATTACAAGTTATTTTTGAAATTCTCAACAGATTCCTAAGGATAACATCGTTAACAGTAATTCGGCAGAACAAGAAATCCTCGAGAAAACAAACGGAAAAGGAGTGAATCTCATTTTCAATACAGGCGAACCCACACCACTTAAACTCCAGAGTTTCTTGCGGACTTTGGCCGAAAACGGACGCTTAGTTGAATTTGAAAAGAATAAGCAAACTATCGAATCGATTGGTAATTAAATAATTGGTTTATCAATTAAAATGCTCAATAGATACACTTGAAAAGTTACATAATTATTATTGAATTCTTTAGGTGTATCTGGAAACTTCAGAAATACAAGCGTTATTAAAATGAACTTGAAGAGTTTGTTCCAAGGCAAATACTCTTTGTCCGATAAACGAGAACTCAATAAATACATAAGCGATGGAATAAAATCCGGTGCAGTTGTACCATTACCTGCTACTGTGTATAGCAATGAAGACGGTTTGGAAGAAGCTTTCAAGTGAGTTTTTATCTTTGTATTTTAGTGTTTAACTCTATTAAAAATTCTGCGAATGATTTTGTTTTTTTGTAGAGTGACCCTTAGTTTTAATTACGTTGGCAAAATCGTATTCAAAGTGCGCGAAGAAGAGTCGAAAAAAGTAGTAATTCCAACGCCAAAGAATGTCCAGGCATTACCGAAAACATTTGTTAATCCAGATAAATCTTACATCGTAGTCGGTAAGGCATTTGAATTTCTTGTTTCTGTTTGGGGACCGCTCGACTATAATTGTTTGTTCTTAGGTGGATTGGGAGGTTTTGGTCTTCAAGTGGCTAATTTCCTGGTGACCAGAGGTGCTAAAAAATTAGTTTTGGTATCCAGGAGTGGCGTACGGTCTGGATTCCAATCGCTGTTCCTCAGAAGATGGAACGAAAAGAACGTGCAAGTGGTTTCAGTTACATACGACACTACTAAACCCGAAGGAGCTGAAACTTTAATAAAAGAAGCCAACAAACTAGGACCCGTCGGAGGAATATTCCAATTGGCCGCCGTAAGTGCATGACAATACGATAATAGGAAATCGCCTGTCAATTTTCTTTGCGGTTTATAAACGATCGTTTTGTAATTTTTAGGCATTGCACGATGCTTTGATTAACGATCTGACAGTGGCTCATTTCAACCTGACCACGACCTCGAAAGCTGTAGCTACTCTGAATTTGGATATTGCCTCCAGAAAATTGTGTCCTCAGCTGGAATACTTTGTTACCTGGTCTTCTGGAACAAGTGGTCACGGCACAGCGGGTCAATCAAATTACGGTTACGCCAACTCTGTAGCAGAGAGGATCTCCGAGGCTCGCCAAGCAGCTGGATACCCATCCGTAATTAATTTAAAAAAACCATTTTTAAAGCCTACAAGAACATAATATTTCGGAAAACGATATTTATTTCTAGACTTGTATCGAATGGGGAGCGATCGGAGATGTTGGTATGGTGCTAGACGCTTTGGACGACAACAACGCAAACATCGGTGGATCTTACCCTCAACGAATGGCTACCTGTTTGAACGCTATCGACAATTACTTGCAAAAACCACACCCGGTGCTGTCCAGTATGGTACTTGTAGAAAAGAAGAAAGCTACCGGCGATACCGGAAGCATGGGTCCCATCGAAGCCGTCGCTAAAGTCTTAGGTAAGAGAAGGAAATACGGGTTGTCTTATCGCCGACCGTTTAACCAAAATCAAAATTCAACTCTAGGTATCAAAGAAACCAAAAACGTGTTGGGCACGTCAACACTGACGGAACTGGGAATGGATTCGTTGATGGGTGCCGACATTAAACAAGTATTGGAGACCGATTACGACATAGAACTTAGCGCCAAAGAAATCCGAGATTTGACGTTCAACATTCTCAAACAGCTTGCTGAAAATGCAGACTCAGATGAAGATAACAAGGTAAACTAGGATTTGATATATTAAGCTTTTAATAGTTTTTATGTGCACACTCAATAAATCAAATCTATTTTTTTCCAGCCTGCTTCTGCTGTTCAAGAAACTGTTGGTGAAATCATCGTTTGCGGTTAATTTTACTTTCAACTGTAATATTTTATTCTTGTTAAATTTTTAAATATGATAAATAATATAATTTAAATAGTGCTGCATAATACTGAAGTTTGTGTTTTTCTTTAAAAAAAACCATAGAACCGCCTTATCACAATTAACAAAAAGAAAACTTACCAGAATTATATATTCCTAGTCGAAAGGACCAAAAATGTTTACTTACACCTTGTTTCTCCTGGCTCAGAGGTAGCATAATCTTTTCAAAAATACATCAAACCATATTGTTTGTTACTACACTAAATAGTGTAATACCGATTAACATTGATTATGTTTATAATTGGTTATATTGCTATAAACAAAACGAATGGTATGGTAAAGTTAAGGATAACCTAATACACAATCGTGTGTTACTTTAACAGTTTGAGCTAAAAAATATACGAAAAGTGTTCCCAAAAAAGTCTAAGCGTACATGGCCTAATACAATCCTAATCGCTCTGATTTTGTTCCATTTAATGAGGCCTATTCAAATCATTTACTTTGGCTAATGACTTATATATTGAATCCTAAAAAAAAGAACAAATATTCATAATTATTAGTTAAAACGAATTTAAATTTTTTATATAATATTAATTTTTATCTTTATCTTATTTCGAATGTATTTACTATAAAACAAAACAAAAATGACCCGTAGGGACATGTGTAGAGATACTCTACTTGGTCGACCGTCGTCCAGCATCCGTTTGATTAAATTTCCCCTTTTTGTACCTATTACGATGCCATTGAAGATATCCGGTGTTCTAATCAAAGTACCGTAGAGACAAGTTAACCGTGTCAGAACAATATCGTGTACAGTAATAACAGGCGTCTTGCGCAATACGGAACATATTGTTGTATAATAACAATGTATAGGTATACTCGCTCAGAATAGAGTTGTAGTTATAAATTCATCTTTATTTTGTTTTATCTATATTATAATGTTATATATTTGTGTAGTTTTTCTTTATAGGTAATTTCCCGTTAGAACATAATAACGCGACGGGTACAACCATTTCATTGATTCGTGCTGTGGTAATAGTATGAAAACACATTGTTGTTTCCGTTATATGTATTCAATTAACAACGTTATCTGTTTGTTTGGTTTAATTAAGACACGAAAAGTTATCACTAATGTTGTAAACCTGTTGAATAGATAATTAAAAAATAAATTATTATTATTTAACATTATATGCCCACGGACGCGAGTAACACCCAATGAGATTTCTAGCCGTGGACTTGTAGACACATTTAAACGAATCATTCATAGATTATGCTGTCTATTAATAACGTCTATTATTACTATATAAATAAGTCACGTTTTCCATACACTAAGCCTATTTGGTTTGGTTTACGGCAGTATCAATCACGCACAAAAAACGCCTTTTGCTTGAATACGAACGCATTTAGACAATTACTGTACGCTAAAGCAAATAAACAGTGATCAACGACATTCTTATAGACATTTTGACTCGTGTACGATGAAAAAAAACGCGAAATTTTCCATTTATTCACTCATAAGATTTTTTATTTTTATTTTTATTAACAATAGACTTTATGGTAGGAGTCCTACCGTAGGACGAGGGACAAACCGGGCAAGTATTGAAATCGGTTTCAATCCCTGAGGTAAGGTTAGAATGATGTCCAGAGTTGTTGACTGGATTCGAACAGGAGCCGCCGTAATAATATCGTCCCACTTGTAATGTACACAGTCAGTCTAAATTATTAATCCAGTTATTCACAATTGACATGCGTTGTGGCTTTTGTGCAGCAGGAAACGTGTCGGGAAAAAAAAACATATGTAATTATTTGTAGTCTTGTGAAACCTTAGGTCTATAAAAACAACCAAGCCGTGACCAATATTTTTTTATACTGGTGCTAAAACAAAATCTATATTTACCATAAACTCGAGTATTTTTAGTAATCAACAACTACACAATTATAGTACATTTTAGTACAATTATTGTAGTTACTAAAAAGCATCAAGTGTTAGTAATATTCATGAAACGACCATTGGTTTCGCATAGAATTTTTTTCAAAAAATTATTTGAGTAAAAAGCAGAAGAGCAGTGATTTTTTAATAAGCATTTTTCAAAGTAATTTATTTTAAAAGATTTTACTATAGCTCTAGTGATTCGCAAAAGGAAGTACTTACTTAGTGTATAAATACAGTACAATGTACAGTATTATAATAAAATGCAACACCAAAAGATTTATTTTAAGATAGGTAGGACACATGTTACAAAACATATTTTAATGCTGTTTCGTTTAAAGTTAAATTTTCATATACATCAATCATATTAATGTAAAAAAAACCTTTCCAATACTTATTTTATTTTTCACAAAACCGCAATTTTATAAAATCAGAATAATAAAATTATTGAAATTATAGTTACGGTTATTTAGGTTAATTAAAAAACTTGTTAGAAAACATCACGTTTTAAAATGACTATAAAATCAATTTTGTATGATTTGTGTTAATTAAATGAAAGTTTTTATATTTAATTTTGCCTTTTGGGTAAAAAAACGAATATTTTAATGCTATTTTTATGACAGATGCCAACTTGTTGAGTAAAAAGAAAGTACAGATCCGCTTAAGTACCCTTGAAAGTGTATAAAATGTTATTGACTTTTACTAACACCATGAAGGATATTTTAAATTCTTGCTATTAACAATAGTATGAATATTATTAACGAATATCCAGTTAGTAAAAAAGCTTATACCAAATTATTAAAATGCGGGAAAATGACTTTTCATCTGTGCCAACTAATTTACCGCTTTTTAACAGTAATATGCTAATAACATCAAAAGTATTTAAAATGTGTTTCTTTTTTTTTTTAATTTTTATAATCACAAAATAAATACTTTTATTGTATTACTGTGTTGTTTTTAGCGAAATTGTCAAATACTCGTGACCCATACTGAGTTGCTTTTGAACTCGCTATAGCCAACAATTTATAAACAGAGTAAACTCAAAAAACAAAAATGTTCGTTTAGTTTCCAATTTGTCACGGGTACCGACGAGTACGATTTAAATATATATTTATATGGATAGAATTCTTTCGTTTGCATGCATAGCAGTGAGCTAGGAAGGTTATTTTCGAATTTCCATCACAATGATGGACCGCGGAACCGACTCGCAAACAAATAGCGCATCATTGTGAAAATCAGCTTAGCATGGCGAAGCTTGAAATGGTAAAAAAAAAACACACACACACACACAATTAGGCTCCTCGTTTCGGCGATGTACCAAGGACACCTCTCATATGTGTGTATATATTTTATAATCAGTCGATATTTATTAATATTCTTTTCTTTCTAGGGCCGTTCCCTTACGGTTAAAAAAAAAAAAAGGTTATCCTAGACTTGGCGATTCCTCGCGGAGACAAATTGGTAATGACTTAGCGCACGGTGATACTGGGAATCCCCACTAAGGTGCACAAGTCTCTCTCTCTCTCTCTCGCCCATTCTCTCTCTCCCCGTCAGTCCTGTGATCATTATAATAATATGTGCGCTGTGCAGTCGCAACAGGTTGCAAAAGTTACACCGGTCATCAGGCCCCACAGTCGCACGTCCCATACCTGTACTCGGTTGCCGTCAGGTCGTTGACACACATCCGAAGTATAGATGTTTGTATAATAATATTTTTATTTCATTATTATTATTATTATTATACTGCGTTCCATATTGCCGTTTTGTTCTGATCGGTATTTAAATTATAAAAAAAAAACGCGGTCGGGCGTGTGCGATAAATAATACTTTTTTTTTTCCAAATCTCCAAAGTCCGCAAAAGAAAAATCCGCCACGACCGTCGTTTTTTTATTTCGTTTAAACCCGTTCGGAACTGTATTAAAATAATAATAATATAATATTATCGTAAACGGTTGCCGCCAAAACGACGACATTCGCCATCAGTGCGCCCAAATAAACCTAGGTGCTTCGGTTGTGCATCTTATCTTGCAAGGAAAACTGAAAATTCCTAAAACCTAGTACGCTTATGGAAAGCGTTTTGCGTGGGATCCCCACAAAGATACAGGTACGTTATTTTATTTTGTTAACGTTAACACGATTGTATCTCACAACTTTTCTAATGACCGAAATTACTTAATATGCAAAACAATAGTAACCCAATTGACTTTTACATTTAGAATTTTCTGAAGTATCGTTGCCAAGTGAAATGGTAGATTTTGAGATTCCTTAACTCATATAACTCATGTTTTAAAGAAAGAACAAACATTCCTCCAAGGAAAATGATATAAATTTGCGCGAACTTTGCCTACAACTGAACTAGCCTTAAAATACGCCAACTGAACAAATGTTGAAAAAAATAAATTTCAATTACATACCTTTTTTATTTCTTTAAAATGAACAAAACTGAGGTAATAGTACAACTTTGTAAAAAATAGCGTTACTAATATCGACTATTACATATAAATATCCTGTATCGTATTTCTACAAAGGTGCAGCCACTATTTTTTGAAAATGTAAAAAAAAAAAAAAACAGTTATTCTAATGACCGACATTACTGGAGATTTCAAAACAAACAAAAAATCTTCAAGTGCCTCATAAAATATACTTTGGTTACTTAAGCCATGACGATAGCACTGCGTTAACAACTTTAGCAAGAAGCGCCTACTATTTCTTAAATAAACCGAATGTCTTGTGCAAGTCAACAATGCGCGATTGTGTAATTTACGTTGCCACATTTGCTTGTTTCTTTTCAAAATTGACATGAGTACGATTGTATGGAATATTAAACGATGAGCGCCGTGTGTATAATTTTAAATTACAGTAAACGTTGTAGTTAATTTCTACCAACTCTGTAGAAAACTAATCTAATTAATTATCTATTACAATTTTGTTATTTTTGCTTTAAATTGGACTTAATGTCTATTCACCCGCTCATTTCTAATATGGTATTAAGTTTGAGGTAGGCTCGTTGATTTTTTTTTTTTTAATATAGACACTTTTTTTATTTATCTAGTAAGCCAAAATTGTTTCCCAAGAAAATTTTGAAATATTTTTATAACGATTATAGTCACTTGTTGGGTTTTAAATTATTTCAAATCC